GTGATTAGAATAGATGAATTAGGTGCGGAACAAATGTGACTAGTATAGAATAAGAACATTAGAAGAAAGAAGCAACAGTGCCAAAACAAATGAAACAAAAGTTGAATGATTACAATAAAGAAAAGTGGGAGTATATATCAAACTTTTAACTATTTTTTTGTAACACCTGAGTGAGTTACGTGAGAGATTAATTAGCAAAGTAACGTTCCAATCGTCCATTTACAACTCTTAACATTTCAGTTTGCATGGAGTTTGCGGGACCACCCTTATCTAGGGACCGTTTTGCTATTTCGAAAAACTCAAAAGAGGTATGAAAAACTAGCCATATATTAGTAACCACACATTCTTTATTTGTATTTTAATTTGTATTCACTTGTAGTTGTACACTTTTACTTTGTGTTAAGCGTACATATATAATCCTAGAGTTTTGAAAGTTCTCCAACCTTTATAGTCAAATCAAGTCTCTTTTTTCCTAAAGAAAAAAAAAAAATTGATCTCATGCATTACCATATGTTTTGATCTCATACTTGGATTAAAGCAATTAAAACCTTCGTCGTGTAGATCGATGATCTCTGATATGAGTGTAAATATATTTGTTGGTTATTGGAGGATTGACACAATTCAAGTTGCATGTTGGTTAGGCCTAAGGGTGGAGAAGAAAGACTAAAGAGTTAGATCAGATCTTATAATACAGATTAAAAAAACAAATGGAGTTTTCTGTTCTGTCATTGTGCTTCGGTGTAACACATTCGCAAATTGCTACTTTATTATTAAAGTTCCAAGTTCCAACAAATATCTTTGGGAATACTATTATAAGGAGAATAAGACCATAATTATCGGGCCATCTATTGGTCTGTTCTTATGTTAAAAAAATATTAAAATTTCTGACAACAGGCTTTGGAACATGGAAAGTGATTTTGGGCTGTTTTTGGGCTGTTCTTGTGGCGATGTGGCTCCCGCGGATTGGTTGCGATTTTTATTTAATAATTATTTGGAATTGTATTTTGTGTTTCTTTTTATTTTCAAATCAATTTTAATATAAGTTTAGTTTTTATGTTTTCAATTTTAAAAATAATTTTTTAAAATTTTTTAAAAACATTTAAAATTTTTGATTATTAAATTATTAATTCCTATGATCTAAACATGTTCTACCAATAATCACTTACTTTACAAAAGATCTTAATTAAAGCTCTTATAATATTTTAATATTTTTTCTTCCTTAAGATCAAACTTCAAATATGCACCTTTGCATATGCTCTAATAGACATGATAATTTATTTAGTTTATTAGCTAGTGTGGTTGAATCTCTTTTGTTTTATTTTCATAATTACATTGGTTGGGCTACTGTTAAACATTTGCATGTGGAATTTATCTGTGGGACTAAACAGATAGTATGATTTAATTTAGTGATAGCTATTCGCTAAAAACAAGAATAATCAATGTCCATATATCATAGATCCAAAAAGTATGATTTATTTCTTATAAGATGGGTTTTCAATCATAACCACAGAACATATCGCTTTTTTTTTTTTTGGATCGATTTGTTCATATTTTACTTTCTCCAGAATCAATTAAATGTTGTATTCTATGGTTATTTAAAGGTTGACCAATTGGTTGTTCCTAGCTCTCTCCGTCTCATATATATATATAAATATCTTAAAACTTTTCACACATATTTTACAACATGCATTCTTAATTATTCTATCAGTAAATTAGTTGTTTATCTATTTTACTGCTAAGGATGAATTATATAATATCACTATATAAATGTTGCATAAGAAATATTCCCTCTGTTTCAAAATATATGATGTTTTGGCTAAAAGCACATACTTTAAAAAATTAATTTTTTCTTTTAAAAACTATCATTTAATATTTAATTTAATAAAATTCAACTAATGATATAAAAGACTGCAGAATATAAATAATGATAAAATATCAAATGCATTTAAAAGGCATTTAAAAGTTGCATAGAAAATTGTAAACATCCTATATTTTGAAACAAACTAAAAACTCTAAAACATCCTATAAAATGAAACAGAGGGAGTACAAAATATTTTTCTTTATGAAACAAATTTTTTAGTGTGTGGTATTAAGGAAAACTTCAATTAATTTGTTAGGTGATAGATTTTTATGAGTTACAAACATGTTTTGTTGTTAAGTTTTTTAATCAGTACTTAATTCGAATATTTGAGTACTAGTTCGGTGTGCGGTGGGGACCTTAGGGTCATGTCAACGTCCAATAAATGATTATTTTTCATTTAGAGTTTTAAAACAAATAATGGCGAATTTTACTATTAATTTATAAAAATATTATACTAATCTGCTCACCAAAAGAAAAATATTATACTAATCTAATAAAACTTGAAAAATCTTAAGTGCAAACAATACCTGTCTAAAATGAACTTATGTTAGGCTGGCTTTTCAAAGAGTTTGTTAGCTGTAAAGTGTAAACTCTCGACTAATGTACACTTTTTTCTTAACTTGACGAATTTTTTTCTTAAATGATATCATTATGGGCAATGTGATTGTTTAAGGGGATAATAATACTAACAAAAATAATAATTAAAAAAATTACAAAAGTAACTCAAAGGAAAAGGTCAAATACAAATTAACAACCTAAACGCGGGACTTGAGAGGTTCGTATCCATATTTGGGCCCGAATGTTGGGCCCGAATGTTGGGCCAGAATCTAATTTGAGCAAACTTGAGCCACCTTCAGGTTTTTAACTGGACCGTTCATGGGTGTGAGATAATAGTTGAAACTTGAAAGGATACACCAATAAGCAATAAGGCCACAACATGAATCCGAGTCAATCGCAGAATAACTTTTGTCATGGGTTGTGGATACATAACTTTGATTTTGGGATTTGTTCAGAAAAAAAAAAGTTTGATTTCTGGTCTGTTGAACGCTGTACAAACATGTATGTTTATGAGACACATGCGATGTGATACAATTTGCTTAGACCACTAAACTATTTGTACTCACACATTCGCAAATCATATGTAAGAGAGTGAAACATCAAACATGCCAAGATAGAAATGATACTAACATGTTTGTGAAAGAACAAAAAAGGGAAATAAAACGTGGACAAATGAGATGTTGATAACTGCAGAGTCTAAGTCTAATACTACTAAAAAAAGTGAAATAGCTTTTGAGTTTTCATAGGTTTTGGAATTCGAGATGTCCCTAACTAGTTTTCTTATTTCCCATCATCATCCTTCATTTTCTTTTACTTTTTTCTAATTCTTTTATTTTGAACTTCTTCCCTATAGTATGTGTACAACGCCATAATTTATATATTTTCCTAAGTGAAGACAAAAAAAAAATTCGCGTGCGAAAGAATCCAATGAGTACCTACTTGTGCTCTTGACTCACTGCTTATGTTTATAGAAGCATGAAATATCCCTAATCCAGTGTTTATCATGAGACTAATGTCTTTACATTTGATTACATAAATGATACTCACAATTTTAAAAATAATATGATATGTAATGAACCAATGATCTATTTGTTTTATAGTTTAGATGCAAAAATTTAAATTTACAGATTTCATATGGTTTATGAGTCGATCAATCAAATTAGTTAATTACTAAGTTTGCATAATTAACCACAAGTTGTGCAGTGTACTATCTCATTATTATTGCTCTATATTATTGTTTCAAGTCGACAAAATGATTAATAAAGCTGCGTTTATCCATATTTTAAGCAGAGGTTAGTACAAGAATTTTGTTACTTGATTTGATGGAGTAAGTAGTTTTAGATTTCCAACATTTGAAAGTTTACCACTTTTTACTCCTCTACATTAAGATAATGTTGGTGACAAATTAATATACGTAATCAGTTATGTAAAAAGTTCAAAAATATACTGTATTGAATAGCATAATCATGTCACTATTCCACGATTTTACGATTTACCAAGCAAAACTATTTTTTGTTTTTGTTTTATCATGGTTATAAAATTACACGGAAGATGTGTAAATGGGAATCTAAAACCTGAAAAGGAGGAAGATAAGGATCAGATAATAATAATACTAATAAGCGATAGGAATACTAACCCATACTTAGTAATTAGTGATAGGAATACTAACCCATACTAGTAATTAGTGGAAGTGTACAATGTACAATGTACAATGTACCAATGCCATTAATGATTTCAGTATAAAATATCTTTCTGAGGTAGTGGAAGTATTTTTCACTAGCATCAGTTTACCTGACGTAATTAATTAATTAATTAAGATAAGACATTGCACTAATAGACAATAAAAAAGACTCATCATGATTAGTGTCCAAAAAGGAAATTCGATACCTGACCCAATTAAAGAAAGAACAACACTTTAAAATATCTACTCTAAGATGGCCTCTAAATGGTAAACCGATTGAAACGAATATTACATATGTTTCCTTCACCCAAACCACCATTTTACAAGCTTGATTTTTTTTTTTCAAATGTTATCTAGCAAGTGATGTTCTTCCTTAATTACTTCATCTTTTAATCATTGATTCTTTTTTTGCTCCATGATTTATTATCTTTTTTTGGTAAATCATCAACCTCATGTTCATTTGTATTAATACGATAAGTATCAATACAAAACGTTATTATTATTTTTTTTTTTTTAACAAAACGTTATTTAATTGACGACGTCAAGGGTTACACTTTGGTATTCCTATGCAGAGTAGTAATTCTGGCATTCATGAACCATACATTTCAAGGTAGTAAGAATTTTTGGGTTTTAATTGGTAAATTTTAAACTTTGATTCGGTTTATATGCTCAGGTCTACACAAATACACAATCATCTGTTACTGCTACATCTTTTACTTTTTTTTCTTCTTCTTACCAATTTCATTATAACCGCAAAAGAAAACGTTAAACCCATATACTCCATCTAGGAAACCCTTTGCTAAAAGAAGGAATGCTAACTCAAATTAATAGGAAAGAAAAGTAGGTCTGATTTCATTGGACATAGTCGTCGTCACACATACTTATATAACAATATTTCGTCGGCAGTATAACACACGCGCCACCTTCTGAAACCCGACTTTAATTAAGTTAATTAAACACCCTTAGAGATTTGACCCACCAGGTGTCCACTCACTGTAGGACACGTGTCGAAAATCTTCTAAACCCTTTTTGACAAAACATCATGTCTCTCCATTTTGGAAAGGAAAATAAAAAAAATTTAAAAAGAAGAAAAAAACCACAATCTCCGTCAATCTTTGAACCCTTTTTCTCGCTCCTATCTACCATTCTCTCTTTATATACCGACTGTTTCGCCATTAGAGTCTATGCGAAGAAAACCCTTATCAAACAACAAAATCTCCAAGAAATGAAAGACTAGTGAATTTCTCAATTACTTAGGGTTTGGAGAGATCTGTGAGAATTAAAGGGACAAGAAAGTGGAGTTCTTTATCCATCATCTAGGGTTTTTTTTTTCCAATTAGTTTGTTAGAAGAGAAAGAGAGATGGTGATTGAGAAAATGCAACAGAGAAAACTGACAGAAGAGAGTGAGCACATGCAGGCTCTGTTATGTGTCTATAACTTTGCGTGTGCGTGCTCACCTCTCTTTCTGTCAGTTGCTTATCTCTTGTTTTATCTCTCTTCTCTCTTCTTTCTCTCAAATTTGTTTAGACCATTTCCTTCTTAATTATCATCTCTTTTGTTGTGTAATGATGTGGATAAGACAAACGCGTTTCGATAATCATTAGTTATCGTTTAGAAGTGGGAGCTTTTGCTTACGCATATAAGAATGTTTGTTTCAAGGCTTTCTTTTTACAAGTTTGGAGGAGAAAAGCTCAGATTTTTATAGTTGGGTTTATAATAATAATAATAAATGTGAATTGTTAAGTGTGCTCTATTGCTGAATTCTTCTAGTGCGATCTAGGGAAAGCGCGAGTTTTGATGATCATGAACCCAAACCGGTACACATTCTTCTCAAAGATTTTTTTTTTTGGATGTGATTTGATTAACTATTGATTGTATCTTTGTCTTTTTTGGATGTGATTTGATTTTTCTTTTCTTATTAAGTTTTTTTTTTCATGTTGAAATTCCCTGATGATCCTAACTGCTACATGCGAGTACTGAACCATAAATTATGTTATCGTCTTCTGTCTTTCTTTTTTTTTTCAAAAACTAGAAGTGGCTTTCAGGTTTCACCAGAAGCCATCATTAATGGCGGACTTTGTGTTTGATGTTTTTGTTTGGTTCTATTTCATGTATACCCTAGTTGCGTACTGTTTCAATGGAAACATGAGCTTTTTTTTTCTCTGAGCAAGTTGGTAATGAAGCACTGAATCCAGCTGTTTGGTCTTAAAAGGTCTTTGATCTATAATTTCCTTTTTTGTGTTAGGTTTGTACGGATTAATGCTAGTTGGCATTGAAGTCTACCTTGGAATTAATGTTATTTGGTAGTAGGTAGAGATTCACTAACTTGGTTTCTTTGCAAGTTGAGATCCAAAAGAATTTTGAACCCCATACCTAATGCTCTCTATTATCCGTTTCTCTTGCAAATTTCTTCATTTTTGCTTTTGAATTTGTTAGAAAATAGATTTTGTTGCTTTGTTTTGGTATCTTCTGGTGCCAAATGAAGTTAAAAAATATTGTTTTCTATGGAATGGTTTATCTAATATGGTGCCAAATGAGGTTTAAAATGTTATCTTCTACTGAAATTGTTTATCTTATGCTGGCAAAGATGGTTTAAAACTCTTTTTGTCCACTGTAGTAGTTGATCTAATTAAGTTTCAGAATTGACCATATATCATCTGATGTTATTCTTGTTGGTTTGATCTTTTTTTTTTGTGTTGGCCAAGCTTTATGCTTATGTCTTTTGACTAGTTCTTATTAAAATCAGTTACTTTGTAATTTGAAGCCTAGTGTTGTAGTCTGCTTTGATTAGTAAATGCATTATAATCTGTTTAAGCAAAGACATTAGTTGGTGTTTTGTTTTTCTTTCAGAATGTTGTCTTTTTATGTCGTTCCATAAATGTGTAACAAGAGTAATAAGCGTTTGCTGATGTTGTGTAGTGTCAACCAGAAAAATCTTTGTGTTGAGTTTGACGAAATCAAATTGTGAATAGGTTTCTTGGAACTAGAGTCTAATGTACTTCACCCTGAAGTCCACAAATGAAGTCATGGTCATGAAATAGATAACAACGGAGATGAATAAAATGCTAAGAATGTTATTTATTTTTTCTACTGAATTGGTTGATCTTAAGTTGCCTAATTGATGATATCTCATCTGATGTTATTCTTTGTTGGTTTGATCTCTAGCTGTCTAAGCTTATTCATAATGTCTTCGAATAAGTTTTTGCCAATATCAAGTGCTTTGTAATCGGATTCCTAAATTTGCAATGATTATGAGTCAAGTATCCGAACTTGTGCATTTTGTGTATCTGCTGAATCAAATTGTAAATTTGCTTAATTACCAGAATTGGTGTCTAAAGGGCTTCACATTGGAATCATTATTTCAAGTCACAAAAAGATAACAAGGGGAGACGCATGGACTTTTGGTGTTATCACTAAGGTTCCCTTTTTAGCCTAGCACTTCATGTATATTGAATGATCTATATATATAAGGCAAACGTGGGGAATTTCATGTACTTATGCTGGGTTAGGTTATTGTGATGTACTGATGACTGTGTTGTTTCTGCAGTTCGTCATGGCCTATTCAGATATTCGTGCTTGAAGTAATTTAATCGGTGAGTTTGAGTGAGCAATTAAACTTCAGGTTTTGTGAGATAGAGATATAGAGATGATTATGTTCATAACCTGTTTGAAAGATTCTAAATTATATCTTGGTTTGATTTAGACTATCGTGTTCTCATCACTAGGGACTGAATGTAGAAGCAAATTTAATCATAACTCTGAAATACTGTGATGTGCATCATCTGATGTGTTAGGCTACTATACTGGTTATTTGATAGGTAAACTGAAAAACATATTGTTATGCGTTTAGGTAACTCTAGAGACTGTACCATGCTAAAAAAAAGTGTCGTTGATTGCCTTGTCTAATCATTCTTGTGAAAGTGATTTATTATTGTTGGACATGATCCTGTTTAGTGGATTTTCACATTGTCATCACCAAAAGACCTATGCAAGAGACAGTCTCGATATAGCAATAATAACAACCTGATTTTTGTGTTCTCTTGCTTTTGCAGAAAGATTATATCAATATCATGTGGGAAGACATTTCAAGGATATATCTTATTCAAGGTTAATTGGAAGTGTAAAAATCAGGTAAATCAATTAAGTATACAGAAGTATTGGTCTTTTTAACATGAGATTTCTAGTTTGATGATCACGGAGAAACATCTCTTTCATTAGCTCTGTTTGTTTCCATTTTGCATTATGTGTTGGTCATATTGTTCAATCGATCAATTATTGAATTTTTAGCTATATAAGAGTTCACATTTCTTAAGCATGGTAGATTCAGTGGCTAGACTTGAATCCAAATATTGGCATAATCACTAGTTGGTTAATCTATTCTATGATTACAATCCTCATATGCATTAGCTCTTAGTCCTAAGGCATATAATAACTAGCATCTACTTGTTTCATGTATTATTTGGATTTGCCATCTGACTGAACTCATACAGGATTGAGGAAGAGTGGAGTCTTCTTCTTATCATGTATCCTTCATTGATATCATTTTTAGCCCTAGGTCCATAAAGCAAAACTAGTTCATGCTCTCTTAATCTAGTCCTTTGAAACAACCTATTTGAAAGGGGTAATAAATCGTTTATCTTTACATATGTTATTGTGTGAACTAATTTTTGCATATCAATCATGTTGGTTATCATCTTTTCCTAAGCTTAAATTTAAGGGTCAGGCAATGAGAATATACTGTGGATTGGTAGACACAGGTTTGTTTTGAATCAATGCTCTAAATCTAGCTGGTTTTAATAGTTTGTGTTATACCACTGTGTTACATTGTATGGTCCTTCACCTAGATTTTTTTTTGCTCTTTTCGAAAATTCTTTATAGAATTACCAATTATGGATTGATCTTACTAATAAATCTTAAAATTGAGAGATTAGGTGTCGAATTGAACAGATGATCACCAAACTAAATAGTAATTTAATTTGAGCCTGATATGTAGTTAAGTAGTTTGAATTAGTGTCGTTTTGTGATCATCCAAATTTAAATTTGAGAAAATTTATGTGGTTGAAAAGAAAGCTAGATGTTGACTCGTTTAAAGAATGGAGGTGTTGGATGCCTCTTATACATTTCCTACACTAATAAAAAAAAAGTCACTGAGAAGAGCCTTATTTAAGAGCCGAGGGGTTTAGTTTTGGAACTCTGGTTACAATAATATACCGTAAAAAATTAAGAAAAATGAATGGGTGTGGTGTAGAGTTAGTAGCCACCCACTCCTTGAGTCAAACTGTGTCCCACACTTTTGTCCTTGTAAGCCTAATACTTCCAAACTTCGCCGTGATTTATTTTCCCAAATGCTTTTAGCTCAAATTTGACGGCCGTTTGAACAACAGGTAAACGTTCTAGGCCGTCTAGGTGGTATGTAATTGGTTTTTGTCTGTCCAATTTAGTTTCTAGTACTGGATTTAAGATTATAAACTAGAATTTGAAAGAATGTGTATGTCATGATATTACTACACAAAATGCAGTTATTTTTCCCAAGTAAAAAGGTTTATTTTTACAAAATGTAATTGTTGTTGTTTTTACTTATAAGATATATTAAATTCTATTTTTCAGAGATCATGTTATTTCATTTATATTATGTTATAGTACAGATATGTAACATACAAATTAACTCTACAAAATCTTAAACCACCTAAAATGATCCCGAGTAGGTGTTCTAAACGTTAGATGCTACTCTAATTAAGCCCGAACTGCATAGTGATTTTCTTGGGCACTAGGAAGATTTATATATATGAGATCTTACCACTGACCACATTGGCGATTGAAAATAAATTTCTTCAGTTTGTGAGTAAATAAAACGGTGAAATTAAACCTGCTTAAATGTTATATTCACGTGTTGTGTAGTTTTTAAAACTTAAGGATAACGAGTATATAAACAAATTCTTTGGCCTAAATGATCATCATTGACATTTGTTAGACCAGACCGGTTCTGTGAGAGAAAATTTAAGGATATAACTTCTTCTTTTTTGTCCTCAAAGGATATAACTTTATAAACCAAAAAGAAACATGAAAACATTACATGAGTGTGCTGTTGGGTGGTTTGGGTGGTTTGTAGTAGTAGGTAAAAGACAGAAAACCAAAGAGTACGCAAATACGGTGTCGTATCCGAAAACACAACCTTATTCTTTCTAGACTTTGACCAAAACTACCTATCCCACTTGTCTTCGTCTTCTAAACTTTTTCTCTCTTTCCACCCAAAAAAAGGGAAAACGAAATGGCCGTTATCACGGCTTGGAAACGGAGGGAGCGTCTTTAACGGTGACCAACGAAGAACCATTACCGTTAGCAACTGTTGTAGTGGATAGGTTAGGAGACAAAGGAACGCCGGTATCTTTAACGAAGGGGTTACGGGAAGGACACGTGGCGGTGGAGATGGTGGTGGCTAAAGAGATGGGCATGAGGCAAAGACCTTTGCCTTGTAGATACTGCATGGCCGATCCCATGTCCTCTTCCATCAGCTTTGCAACTTGGTGCTCCGTCATCTTCGCCTCGCCGGAGGAGGAGGTGTTTTCGTGGGACCCACCGGCATCCTGAAAAAGTTTAATAAAATTAAAAAGGAACAAAAAAAAAAAACAAGAAAAGCAAAACCCTAAAGCTATGATGATGTTGAAATTGGAGGTTTTGGTATTTGTTGGAGAGAAAGTAGGCACGCGTGCCCTGCCCTTTTTATTTGCAGTTTTGTTTTTTTACTCTTTTTTAGAAAACTTTTTCATTGTTTTTAGAAAGTCGAAACCAAAACTACTACTTTTGATTTGTCTTCTTCCCTAACTAAAACCTTTTCAATAATTACATCTATTTTAATTAGTTTTAGCAAGAAAACTAATTACTATGTTAATACTTAGTACTAATCACGTCATCCTATTTATCATAAAAAAAATTGTAAGAAAGAAGGAAAGATAGTTGAAATTACCTCAGAGATTTGAGAAGAGACAGAAGCAGCACCGCCCAGTCTACTCATGCTTAATACCTGCATACATAAATTTGGCGATCAATTATTATTATTATTAAGCAAAATGTGAGGTAAAAATATGTTTTTACAACCCAAAAGATAAATAAAATTACAAGATAAAAGGAAGAGGGAGCATATGGAATTTTAGTTGCAGAAGCCCATATTCGATTTCTTATTCTAATGTCAAGTCAAAGACTCAAAGGTAAAGAAGCTTCCACTCTTATAACAAAACTAATTTAAAATGCTCATATCTTATAGTAAAATAATTCGAGAGAGAGAGAGAGATTCACCTTGACTTGGAGCTGTAAGAACTTGACATAATCGATAATCTCATCGAGCATTGATGCTTTGTCTGTCTGTTAATTATTATTTTTAACAATAAAAAAAACTTTGTTAGCAATTCTGCATCTGTTTATTACTATTATACAGATTTAGGAATTAATTAGCTAATCAGTGTTTAATCATTTGATTGTATAAAAGTCCAAAGCTCTAGATAACCTACTAAACTAGTACAATTTGTGGTCCAAGACTAAAACACATCAGTGATATAAGTCATAAAATTAACACATTTTTATGTCGGGATGTATATTAAAGAAATGTAAAATACAAACTGGATTAGAGTCTACTCTTTTAATTAACTTTGATGATCGAAATTATAGATTAATGAAGAGAATTAAAATTACCTTGTTGCCATTAGGGACAAGTTCTTGAAGAGATTTCATTCTCTCCGCTATTCTCTCTCTCCGTAACTGTTCCATAATTTCAAAATATTTCAATAATCACCTCAAAAATATATAAAGCTTTATACGTTTTTCTCGGTAACTGAAAAGCGAATAATGGGGAAAAGTAAAAAATAAATAATCGAACCCGTTCGGCGATACTGTGAGGATCAGTGGCTTGACCTCTCCTAGCTCGAACTTTAGGCTTAGTCTGAGGCTGCACCGTCGTACCACCGGTAGTTGTTGAAGCCGTCGCCTGCGATTGTGTTTGACCTCCCGATCCCTAAAAGAAAAATCACAAAACATTTAATTAATACTTTTAACAAAAAAAACATATAATTACTGTTTTCTCTTTGTAGTATTTGCAAAATGAGATTATCAGTTATATATACCTGAGGGAGGTGGAAAGGGAGAGATCCGGTGGAGAAGCCATTGAAGAGAGCGTCATTATGATGGTTATGAGACAAAGGAATCATAGTGATCTGGTTTCTTGAATCGGCATCGTGGTGGTGAAATCCAGTGACGGCAGCACAATCGGAAGTTGGGGGAGGAGCGTCATCGAGGACGGAGGAGGGCCAAGGAGTGGAGGAGAAGATTTGGTGGAGGAAATCATCGTGGTCGAATGTTGCAGGAGATTGGAGATGTGGAGAAGAAGATGATGAAGGTGTTAAAAGAGAGGAAGAGTTCATGGCTTCTGATTTTTTTTTGTTTGTTTTTGTTTTGGAGAATGAAAATGAATGTTGCTGAAATGTTTTGAGGTTTAAGGCTTTATGGTGTTTAAAAGAGGGATGGAGATGGTAATATTTGAGATTTTGTAGGGTTTGAAATGTTATATACATTTAGCAAATTTACCATTATTATCATCCTTGCAAATTAATTCGTTTGTGTTATTTTCATCATTTCTTGAATTTTTTAATGACCAAAAGAATTCATCATTGAAGTCACGATTTTTTTCGCGATATTTAAAATTCTTTGTTGATAATATTTTCACAATTTTGTAGTAACTACAAAAAGTAAGTAAAACATACACTATTTCTATATCGAATGGAAAGCTGAAAGGAATAAAAAATAATAAGTAGTTTATAATTTGGTTGAACTAACTTCACTCAAATTATTTATGTCTTTCTTTTCCATTATCTTATTTTAGTTTTAGACAGAATGGGTTTCTGATAATGATGTATATTTTTTAAAAATATCAACAAATTTAGAATATCTCTTTTTTCTCTCTAACATAGGGTTATCTTAAACCATTTTGAAAACTTAAGTTTCAGATAAAAGTAAATTTATAAGAATTTCGTCTTGAACTTTATAATAGGGTAACATCAAATTGGTTTATCTTAGGGATCAAATTTTGCCAACTACAAATCTCTACGTACCTCGATATAAATATTTGCTAGTCTAGAAGTGCAATAGTCTACAAGATAACCCCAGAGCCAACACTTTTTCTAGTGACAACTATTTTAGACATATATAATATTTAGACATGCAGTATAAATGCATGAAATTATATAATTCTATTCATTTGGGTACATTCATCAATGATTCTCTATGGGTCATGATAATGTTCTCTTCATATATTACTGTTTACAATTTGTCCCCAAGATTACAAACATGCTATCCCTTTAGACGATACTCGTGTTTGATAAGAATAAGATCACTTCTTTAAAGATTATTTTTGTTTTCAGATCAATATGATACCGATGAACTTGTCTGCTTAACCTTTGGGAACGAGGATCCTCTCAAACGAGAATATAACAGAACACCATCATCATCATCATCATCATCATCATCATGTCATGTTACCATTTTTTTATATTTGTTAGTTTAACCTTCTTGTTATATATTTTTTTTGTCTAATAAATTCATCATTTACCTTATATATTCATTTTTACCATTGTATACACAGTTTTTCAGAAAGGAATCTGTTTGATAGTATTTTATTAAGATTAATATTAAATTGACAAAGATAAGTAAATAACATTATTATGCAATATGCATGATTAAGCACATGGGACATTCTGAGTTTTGCACAAACTCACAAGAGGTAGAGATCGGCTTTAATACACTTCCCATTTAGTATTAATTACAAATGTTGGTAAGCATTGATGTACTACACAACAGAAAGCGAGATCTATCATCTCATGTATTATTAAGAGAATGCATGTACATAAAATTAATGCAATAATTATTTTTGTTTGTACTTAATAATTACTGTATACCAAAAGGTCCAAAATAATCAACCAAGGGGTGAAAATAAGTTATGATAATTTAAATTCCATATAGAAAAAAGAAACAACAGAAAGTAAAGACGATAATGTTATGTTTAATAAATCATTGGTCCCATCTCGTATACTGAACATTACTTTAGTAGTTTTGTATTGTTTATATAAAACAATACGTTTACAATAGGAAGGCAGGAAAATAAAGCATATGGTGCACAACCATTGTAGACTCAAGCCTGACAAAACCCATTAAATTTGAGGAATTCCCTCAAAAGTATGGCTTTCTTCAAATTTAAAATCTGGCTAGCTCTTACGATCTTAGTTTGATACACAGTCGCATATTATTTCCCAAATTCTAGTCATTCACCTGAAATGATTTTACTATAAAAACTCAACTTGAGCAACATGAAAGCTTAATTGGTTGCTGTGATCGTAGATGAAGCTGAGTGTTGCTCGAAATGCTATCTTAATTTGAGAGGAGGAGATGTTGATGAGTTCATCACGTCTCCATAATTTATGTGTTACGATTTACGAATGTTAAGATTGGGCTAAAAAAAGCGAAGAAAAGATGTCTAAAATTGGTAAACCAACTATAAGGATCTCGGTTATGGAAAACCAGAAGAAATAAATATACGTCAAAACCCAAACATTCGGTTCGATTAGATAAACCAGGATAAACCTAACCGGGTCGTTAAACCCAAACCGCGCCTCTTTTGTTTGAGAACAGAAAAGAAGCTTAAACCCTTTCTTCCTCCGCCGCGTTCTCAAATTCTTCCCAAGCTGAAAGCTCAAACCTTTTCGATTTTTCTCTTAAGACGCAATCTTGCTTTCGCAACCCGCTGTGTGGTTTCGTTTCCAAACGTAAGTTCGAATTTTGTTGTTTAAATTCCAAGGCTTGTGTCGATTCTCAAACTGCAGCAATTAAGCAATTAGATTGATATACCTAGTTGCTCTTAGAAACTTCTCTTTGCTTAGTCTGGATTTAATTGTAAAGTTTGGAAATTGACTGTTTTGGAGATTGATGTGTTTAGGAAACGCGGCTCTCTGAATCATGGCGACTTCAGCTGATGCTCGGGCAGTAAAGTCGCTCAACAATTCCGAGGGGCGTAAGCGATTTGTGGTACGTGTTCGTTTCGATTAGCTTTCATAGTGTCCGCTCTTTCTGCTCATTAGTAAGCTCACTTATCTGTTTTCGTTGTGCTCTCTAATATGGCTGTTTGTGCTTTATTACTTCTGGATGCAGTTCAAGTCTTTTTCTGAAAGAATCAACGACATTGACATCAACATCAACGGCTATAGGACCTTGAATAAGGTGAAGGCTGAGCCTTCAGAAGGATCCACATTTTTCAGGGATTGCCTCGTAGAATGGAGGGTATGTTTGATTTTGTTGCCTTGGACCTCTTTTTTAAGTTTCATTATTTTTCTTCTGGTCTTGGACTGTTCTTAACCTAAGTTAAGAATATTAACTAAATCATTGTAGTCTTTAGTAAGCCGTACCTTGTTTTAGTTTTGCTTTATTACCGGCTAGAAGTTGCGGTGGTTGAAACATAATAAGTAATGGTAATTTTAGTGATCGTAAACCTCATGGCTTTTATTGTTCACATGATATTGTAAAGAGACTGCCAGCTCGCTAGTTCACCTCTGTACTGAAAAGAATGTTGGTACTCTGTTTTCTTGTTATATTGTTCTATAGGCATCTACGGTGACCAGAGAAGTATTATCTCTATATATATTGTTGTTGTCTGATGCAGAAGCTGCAATGCATATGATATACTAGCGGGGCTGTTCCTACTTTTTCTTTGTATATATCTAAGTCTTCTTAGTGCTTGATCACGCTTAAACAGACGTAGTGAGATAATAAATTTGGTTCATTTGATTGGTTGAATGTAGGAACTAAATACCGCTGAAGATTTCATTTCGTTTTATGAAGAGATGTTACCACTTGTCCAGAATTTGGGTTTGGTTCTTGTGCAAAAAGAAAAAATCTTGTCGAAACTTGTCTCTCGATTACAAATGAAAGCAAGATTGTCTCTGGAACCCATTCTCAGGTTTGCTAATTTCCACTCATTCTGTTAGCCTGGAACCATCTGCCAGTGGAACGTATTTTCACTGATATGGACTTGTCACTTAAGCTGTCATTTTTATATGTATGCCGCCGAATCTTCGAGCGGTGTAGTTAACCACTCTTCAAAATCACGTTCTAGTTCCATGGAAATGTTGTCAGAGGAGCTACGATAGTGGTCGCTAAAATTCTTCACTTTTTCCATTCGTAAGAGCATGCATGCACTTTTGTAATCTTCTTCGGTATAGAAGTATAAAGATTTTTTTTTGCAGGTTGATTGCTGCTCTATCAAGAGATCTCTTGAAGGACTTTATTCCGTGAGTATTCTTAAACTCCATATTGTGAGCTAGTATACTTTGAATTCATAGTAATCCTTAACAAGGCTTACTGAAAGTAAATGCTTTGGAAAAGCTGATGAATTGTTTCAAGGTGCCTACAGAGTACTCCTTAATGTCGTGGAACTCTGGACTATCTAGTTTTTTAAATCCGTTTCCTTGCCATCTGAGAACTGATATAGTTTTAGCCATACTGGATAGCTTACTACATGTTAACACAAACTTTACCTTCCGTTCCTTGCATACAGTGTTACTAACTCGAATTTTGATTATTGTCATCTCACATTACACATGACAGTGCTAGACCACTAGGAAGTAATTTTTCTTTTTGACTGATATTTGGCAGAGTTTGACTTTCTTCTAAGGGTCAAGTGTTTGAGCTTCACTTGCGATTTCTTTGATAAAATCTTGTCCATGTGATTAGATCTTCTAACCAATGTCTTTTGTATTTTTCTTGGCTAGCTTCTTGCCACGAATTGTGAACTCCTTAGTGACTCTCCTAAAAAATGGTGCCCATAAAGATCCGGAGATTATTGAGCAGGTTGTTGGTGTTCTATAGCATAATTTACACTCACGACACTACCTAAACTCATATGTTCTTTTTGCTGAATCCTGGTTCTTTTTCGTGCAGGTATTCACATCATGGTCTTCCATAATAGTGTCCCTGCAGAAGTATCTTGTATGCGACATTGAAAGCATTCTCAGGTAAGTAAAGTAAAGAACTTCAATCTAATCTATAATGTCTGTTTATTGTAATGGTTCTGATGATTGCACATGGTCTTTCTTTTACTTACTGGATCAATAGAGGCTGCCCTAAATTTGATAAAATTGTCTTTTGTCATCCTTAAAAGACAATACATGACTATCACATGCTGGAAATGTTGTTAAATCTTATTATAGGCTTTTCTTCATCTCATAGATTTCATTTTTGATTTAATTTAATTTGCTATGCTGAAGGGATACGTCGGAATTGAGTTATTACCCCAAAGACTATATCAGTGAATTTATGTCAGAATCCATGTCATTTTTGTTGAGGAATGCACAGGATGAGCAACTTGAAAAAGGTGAAAAATTGCGTGTCATTTGTTTTCCCATGTCTACGTTAGGGATAGCCCACTTGATTCACAGCCCAGTTGATTCTTCTAACCTAAACATTACAGGATTCAAGATGATCCTTTCTGAAGTTGCACATCCATCCAAAAAAGCTGGAGGAGTTGGATTACTATATTATGTTATGAGGGGTACCTGTGGAAGACTCCATTCAAAAGCTGAGAGAGTTTTGAGCTTCTTGCTGAAAGATTCAACATTATCTTTTTTTGATAATTTTCCTCAAGGCAAAATCTCTTTCTAAAGAGATGTTAAGTGTATTTCATTTAGGAGTGTACTTTATTTAGAAGGCTTTTGTGGTTGATTTATCCTCATCTTGATTTTAATTCTTAGTTTAGAGGAGAATGAGTAGTATCATAGAGTTTTCTTATCTTTGCATATCCATTTATATTAAGGTCTTCCGTGATGAATTTAAGAATTGATGGTTTAATGATGCTAATATATTGGTGGGAGGTGAGAATCCTTATTAAACTGCTTTCATTTTCTTGCTGGAGGGGATTAATGCTTCTACTTCGTAGAGGATTTTAATCATTTATATCAAATAACTTGGATAGATACCCTGAACCTGGTTTTCACGATTTAGAATTTTATTTACTTCTTATCATGGTTGAATCTTGTATCGCATTGCAGGCCCTGGTACAGTCGTGGAAGTTGTGAGTTTGGCTTTGCAGAGAATATGCGAGGATTTGGAAGCAGAAAAATTAGTTGTTATGTGGGAATATCTGTATAAGAAAATAAACAAATCAATCTCAAACAAAAAATCGGTTCATTTAAGCCGACTGTTGAGTTTGCTTACGGCGGTTGTAAAGATTGAGAAAGGTCGCAAGGTTCACGGTGAGTGATTCAATTGCTGCTTTGCTCCTCTCTCTCACCCTCTCTTTCTATTGTAATCTCTTTGGGTTACACATGGCAACATACATATTAATGTCTTGCCGACTTAAATTACTGTCACTGTGTAACAGATAGCCCATCACTGATTGGAATCGTGAGCCGCACTGTGTCAACTTTTGTGGCTTCCTCTGAGACTGTTGTAGAAGGGGATAACTTATCTGCTGTCCTTGATGAAGTTCTGCAATTGATATTATGCACAATCAACAGGGTCAATGAAATAGAAACTGTTGCTTTGCTATGGGCTCCCATTTTTGCCTTGAAGAGTCCAAGGTATTGTCTACTATCTATCTGTTTATACATCTAAACCTTTTTTTTTTCTTTACATTTTATCATGTTTATTTACAGTTTGCTGCCTTTTTTGCGGGAGTTCCTACAGAAGGATCAATCAGTAGTGAAAGCCTTTACAAATAATATATTATGGCAAGACTCATATCATAGTCTTTTTTATCAACTCCTCTTTGATTATCCTACCTTTGTGTCTTAGCAACTAAATTCTGTTTTGCAGTGCAATTAACAACATGATTTGGGAGTCTTCTGAGGAAGTTATTCCTCTGTTACTAACATTGTGTGAGAGGCAACAAACAAGTCACGACATGGTGAACATCATAAGTCAAACATTTGAGAGTAGATACGAGAGAATTCATGAATTCTTGGAAGAAAATATTAAAAAGGTTCAACAGAATATTGAGGATACGGGATTAGCTCGAATTGATGAGGCCGAGTTGGCTGCCATTTGGGGAGTTGTCAACTGTTATCCTTATTTTAAAGTGGATTCATCATTATTGTTTTGCTTTAAAAAAAGTCTCAGACAGCATTTGGCAGTGTCAGATGGTAAGTATCACTGCATGATTCACTCTTTTTTGCATGTTACTTTATTTTTGTTGTATGCTGTTTTTCCTCCTAAGACGCCACTCAAATTATGTGCTCGATCAGTGTCATCTGATGATCAAAATTCAAACAGATGAAGATTCATGGTCTGGGCCTTCAGCTATACAAAATCCTAAATAATTCTCATATATATCTTTGCCGTGATATATCTCTCATTGAACTGCTGTTCAGTGGAAATTGAGTTGTTCTTGATTGTGATTTCATTTCCTCGAGTTTATCATAACATCTCATACAAGCGAATTTCTTTTCAGCAGACACTTGTAGTGGCCCAGAATTGATGTGGCAGAGCTTACTTGGTACTGCTTTGAGGTCATGTTACAAAATGCTGGGAAGAATCAACCACAGTGATCTAGAGGAAGCTTTGTCTTTTGCTAAAGATTACAAGTCATGTGTGCAAGTGTTGTCACCCGTGGCCGATGTTTTGGAATTTATGCATAGGTCAGTTTGTCTGTTTTGGTGGCTATTCAGTTTTTTCTCCATGTTTGATGATTCTGTGACTGTAGGCTGATGCATTTTCCTATATTAATTCGTAGGCCTGCATTAGCTCATGATGATAGGTCTAAGGCTTATCCAGAACTTCAAGCAAAGAAGGCTGGAGATGCTTTTGAAATATTTTCTGAAAATTTGCGTCATCCAAATAAAGATATCCGTCTTATGACTCTGAGGATTTTGTGCCATTTTGAAACTTTGTCGTCTGAAGAGATAAAAAAATCTCTTCCTAAAGGGAATGTGAGTAGATATCCTTTGTTTTGTATTCTTACCTCAAGCAGATTTCTTACTAGCATTATGACTATATGACTGTTGCCTCTGTGCTTTATCATCTTGTCACTACTTTCTGAAACTTTTCCTTCAAAATACCAGGTTCTTCAGTTATTACTCTCAGTCGAAGAGACTGCTCACACAGTGGATACTAGTCGGATGTTGGTCAATTTGATCTCTACAATACAAAAGGACCTCTCCGCTGGCAGGATACATGCGGCATATGTGAAGCTTGTATTGAATGGGATGTTGGGACTATTACATAATGAATTTTTGTATTTGTGGGGTCCAGCATCTGAGTGTCTTGCTGTTCTTGTGAGGAATTACACAGGTGCAGTGTGGAGTGATTTTGTTTGTTATTTGGAGCAGTGCCAACTAAAATTTGAAACCCTCCACGATCACAGTGAGAATGCGAACCAAAGCATGTCAGAGAGGCATACAGGTAGGCTCACACCATTTAAGTAAATACCTATTTCATCCACTCATAATGAATTAGTTGCTTCGTTCTGTATATTTCAAATATCAATTTTCATTTTTGCTCCTGTTTCAATATGTTAGACGAAAGATGTCTGTAACCTCATCTCCATCTTATTGTCCGTATAGTCTGATGCCTATATGTTTTTCTTTCAATCTACAGATCTGATTGGGCGTTTTAATTCGGTTCTCTTTCCACTGTCTAAGAGCACACCTACTGCAACGGTGGTATCTCAGTTGCTACAGATCTTACAAAAAGCTTCCAGTGTTGCTCAGTCTCGGGCTTCTGAAATTCTCCCTTTGTTGTTGAAATTTCTGGGATACAACAGCGAAAATCCTGTGAGGTAATCTGGTCTCTATATTTGTTGTTCTTAAGCGTAGTATTATTTAACTGTTATCATCAATTTTTTTCTCTACCTTGCAGTGTCGGATCATATAATGGCCGAGTTTGTAAAGGAGAGGACTGGAAGAGGGTTCTTATACAATGGTTGATTTTGCTAAAATTGATGAAGAATCCTATGTCGTTTCGTTTTAGTCAATTTCTAAACGACGTTCTGCAGAATAGGTTGGCGAGACTACTCAATTCGATATTTCACTGTTCTTTTGGAGTAAAAACTTCCATTCTTGATACAGAATTAAATAGTTTGATTGACCTTTGTATTTGGTTTGTGTTTTTTTTTTTGAATATTTTTCCAGGTTCCTGGATGATAATGATGCTGAAATACAAACGAATGTTCTAGAGTGCCTTCTGTTGACGAATGACTTCTTACTCCCACACCGCCAGCGTTTGTTAAATTTGATTAAACCAAAAGAATTGAGAGAAGAACTCACAACCTGGAACTTGTCCGAAGACATCGGAGAACCTCACAGATCTTATATTTTTTCTCTTGTAATTCGTATCCTTATGCCAAAAGTTAGGACATTAAAAAATTTGGCTTCAAGGAAGGTACATATTACTTACGTTTAGTTTTCTTCACTATGCCAATACAGTTTTCATTTGGGTCCTAACAAGGTCTCGTTGTTTTTCTTGTCAGCATACAAGTATCCGTCACCGGAAGGCAGTTCTTTGCTTTATATCTCAGCTGGATGTTAATGAACTTGCCCTGTTCTTTGCATTGTTGATAAAGCCTTTGAACATCATATCAGAGGAAACAATGGACTCGTTTTGGAGTTCAGGCAAAAGTTCTCTGGAATATTTCCAAAACTCCAATTTTCTGAAATATTTCACTGTTGATACTATATCAACATTATCCAGGAATCAGAAATCTGGGTTTCTTCATGTCATCCAACATATCCTTGAAGTCTTCGATGAACTCCGTGTCCGACCTTTTCTAGACTTTTTGATGGGATGTGTTGTCCGGCTATTGGTAAATTATGCTCCAAATGTTGATGAAGAAAGGAACATTGATTCTTTGGCACTAAGTAATGCCACTGACGCCCAATCAGCTTCAGATGATAAAGAAAATGCTTCAATAAATCACGACCAGGTAAAATGGTTATTTCTGTTGTTTACCCTTATCCCTAAAATCTCGGGTAGATTATTTATGCAAACAAACCATTATTGTTTCTCTCATCTCCTTCTTTGGAATTCTTGTCTTTTCTGACATTTTTTTCCGGTTTTTGTGTAGGCTGGCACTGCTTTGAAGCAGTTTAAAGAGTTGAGATCCTTATGTCTGAAAATCATTGCTCATGTTCTTGATAAATACGAGGATTGTGATCTTGGCTCCAAGTTCTGGGACCTCTTCTTTTCGGCTGTGAGTCCGTTAATTAAGAGTTTCAAGCAGGAGGGTTCTAGTAGTGAGAAACCAAGTTCCTTGTTCTCGTGCTTCTTGTCAATGAGTAAAAGCCGTAATCTGATGAAACTCTTATGTCGGGAAGAGTCTCTTGTTCCAGACATTTTTTCAATTCTAACTGTCACCACAGCTTCAGAAGCTATAAAGTCTTCTGCCTTGAAGTTCATAGAGAATCTGCTTTGTCTTGACAACGAGTTGGGTGAGGATGACAATATGATCTGTGGATTTTTAGATCCGTATATAGAGGCACTGATTAACAGCTTGCATTCTCTTTTCATTGGGGATATTTTGAAAAGGTCAGACCTCTTGTTCATTGACTGAATCATGTTATGTCCTCTTGTTTTTATACTTTCTTAAAGTATTATTTATGTATGTCCAGGAAATCAGTCAAGTATCATGGGGAAAGAGAGATTAAAATTCTTAAATTATTGTCAAAGCGTATGCGAGATCGCTCCCATGTTATGAAGTATTTGGATGTCTTGCTGTCTTTCTTGAATAAAAGTGTTAAAGATTCTGGTATGATTACTGTCATATTACTTTTATTGGTAAAACTTACAACTTCAGGTCTCTTGTATGTGACTGTTTTATTGCTTTTACAGATATCCGTCGTGACGCTTTGCTAGCCATTCAGGACATCATATCGTATCTTGGGATGGAGAGTACCAGCAAGATTATAAATACAGTCTCTCCTCTACTTGTTGATGCTGAACTTGACGTTAGATTATGCATTTGTGATCTTCTTGAATCTCTTGCAAACATCGACTTTTCACTGGATGATGTGGTACGTATCATGTCTCTTTTTGTAGCTGAGTCATTTGCTTCTCTTGTTTCTGATTTTGCAATTGTAACAAACAATTGGTTCCTAACCTGTAGGCAAAGCGTGTCCGCGATATGAATGCCATCTCAGCTATGGAAGTTGATGACCTTGACTATGAAAAGATAGTTAATGCTTATTTGGAGATTAATGCAGAGTTCTTTTTTAAATCCTCAGAGCAGCACACAATGATCATACTCTCACAGTGTATATACAACGTATCATCAGAATCCATTATGTTAAGGGGTAGCGCACAGAAGCTCTTGTCTTCTTTCATTGATTTTTCAGCGTCAATACTTTGCCTAGAGGCTCCAGCTCACCCTGAATTTGGAGAAGAAGAGGTTCAAAAAGCTGATGTAAACTGGACAGGAGATCGTGTACTGTGCATTTTGAGAAATTTTATTTTGAAACACATTGGAGATGCAATAAACAGAGGGGGCATTATAATAAAGGTACAGTAACTCTTTTAAATCATTGATATGCCCGGAAGAAAGAACATAAAAAAATTTCATTGGACAATAGATGTAGGTAAGGTTTAGTAACTTAAGTTTCTGATGCTGCTTATGGTTAGCTCACTGTCATGCTTCTGCTTTAGAGACGACAAGTCTTGACCTGGGATATTGAATTGTACATCTTATTGTAATATGGATATTCATGGCCCTCTTACTTGCTCTGGCGTTTCTCTGAAACATATTATTCTGGCACAGGAATGGATTCTTTTGATACGCGAGATGGTGACCAAACTTCCAGATGCCGGAAATCTTTCTGCATTTAGATCTTTATGCTCTGAAGACGAGAATGTAGATTTCTTTAAAGCTATTGTTCACATTCAGGTAAGTCATTTTATCATATATGATCCCTGAGTCTATGATTTGTATTGGAGCAGTGGTGATGATAAAAGTCTATATGATAACCACACAGGAACCAATCCAACTTTCTGATTTTGTTTTGTTCTTCTTTTTCCCTCTAACTCTATTCAATAGGTTTGTTGCGAACTTATTATATTCTAGAGGATGAAGTGGCATATAGCTCATGAAGATGCTAGAAACTTTACGATGATTAATTTTCTTTCAATGTCTTGCAGGCACACCGTAGAGCAAGGGCAATTTCACGTTTCGCTAATGTGGTTAAAGATAGCAGTCTGCCTGAGGTGATCCCTTGAATTTCTTACATTTTTAAATGGAACTGCTGTACTGTGATAGACTTATGACCAAATGTTGGTGTTGCAGGGAGTAGTGAGAAAACTTTTGGTCTCGGTCTTTTTCAATATGTTGCTCGATGGACAAGATGGAAAAGATAATAATGTCAAAAATGCATGCACAGAAGCCCTTGCATCTATATCTGCACATATGAGTTGGACGTCGTACTATGCTCTCCTGAATCGGTGTTTCCGAGAGATGAACAAGCACGCCAAAAAGGGAAAAATTCTGCTGCGACTTATCTGCTTGATTTTGGATAAATTTCATTTTGCAAAAGATGGCTACCCACAGGAGGCTGAGGAAATTAGGACTTGCCTTCAGAAAATTGTGTTCCCGAGGATGCAGAAGCTGATGAATTCTGATTCTGATAATGTTAATGTTAACAGCAGTGTGGCTGCGCTAAAGGTTCTAAAGCTACTCCCTGAAGATGTAATGGACTCACACCTATCCTCTATAGTTCATAAAATTGCCAGTTTTTTGAAGAACCGGTTGGAGAGCACACGTGATGAAGCCAGATTGGCTCTGGTTGCTTGTTTGAAAGAACTTGGGCTGGAGTACTTGCAAGTTGTAGTAAACATTTTACGTGCTATCTTAAAACGAGGATCTGAGGTGCATGTGCTGGGGTACACTCTCAATTCCATCTTATCAAAGTGCTTGTCCAATCCTACGTGTGGGAAGTTAGATCATTGTTTGGGTGATCTCCTTGCTGTGGTGGAAACCGATATCCTTGGAGAGGTTGCTGAACAGAAAGAGGTGGAAAAATTTGCATCCAAAATGAAAGAAACAAGAAAACGGAAGTCATTTGAGACTCTGAAATTGATTGCTGAAAATGTAACGTTCAGAAGCCATGGATTAAAGTTACTTTCTCCGGTCACTGCTCAGCTGCAGCGCCATCTAACTCCAAAGATCAAAACAAATCTGGAGGAGATGTTAAAACAAATTGCAGCTGGTATTGAAGGCAATACATCTGTTGACCAAGGAGATCTTTTTCTTTTTATATATGGCCTAGTTGATGATGGTATTAATAACAGGAGTGGTCTTGGAGATCAAGTGTCTGCACCACCCTCCAAAACGAGTAGGAAATCAAGAGATCTGAAAGAGACTACTGGGTTGTTTTTTGGTCCCAAGTCATGTCCACATCTTATAACCGTGTTTGCTCTGGACTTATTGTATAACCGAATGAAAAAATTGAAACTCGACAACACTGATGAAGAGCTCCTGTCGAAGTTAGATCCATTTGTCAAACTGCTTGCTGGATGCTTGAGTTCTAAGTATGAGGATATTGTATCTTCATCTCTTAGATGTTTTACTTCATTAGTAAAGTTTCCACTGCCTTCCCTCACGTCTGAAGCAGATGAACTGAAAACAGCATTGTTAACCATTGCTCAGTCTGCAGTGAGTTCCAGCAGTCCTCTTGTGCAGTCATGCCTTAAGCTGCTAACAACGCTTCTCGACAATAAAAATATAACTTTATCATCTGAGCAGTTAAAAATGTTGATTCAGTTCCCCATATTTATTGATCTGGAGTCTGATTCATCCTTTGTTGCTCTTTCACTCCTCAAGGCCATCGTGAAGCGGAAGCTTGTAGTTCCAGAGATATATGACATTGCAAATCAGGTTTCAAAGTTGATGGTAAATAGTCAGTTGGAATCAATCCGCAAGAAATGTAAACAGATACTGTTGCAATTTATGGTTCACTATACACTTTCTGAAAAACGTTTAGAGCAACATGTGAACTTTCTGCTGGAAAATCTGAGGTATGTATTGTGCACTAGCTATGAATTCAATTTTTATTTTATTTTTCTTATAGTAAGTTAATTTGTCCTTCAGGTATGAATTTCCGACTGGAAGAGAAGCAGTTCTTGACATGCTTCATGCCCTGATCTTAAAATTTTCAGAACCTAATCTTGGCAAGCAGTCTGTTCTTGATCAGCAGTCCCAAAAATTGTTTATTCAACTTACTGTCTGCTTGTCCAATGAAACTGATAACGAAGTGCTGCCCCGGGTTGGTGCTGTGATAGAAGTTCTGATAGGCCGCATGAGTAAAGATCAAGTTGATTCCAGTCTCTTGTACTGTTTGTGTTGGTATAAGCAGCAGAACTTAAGGGCTGCGGCGGCACAGGTAAATGCTGAGGGTGTATATTCATTAAACTCGTTTCGTGACAATAGTTAGATGTCGGACAGTAGGAAGTAAGAACTTATATTTCTAAATATGAAGAAATAAGAGTAACAAGTGGTGTTACCTGAAGGGTTTTATTATGAACTTAGACCATCCTTATTGGGAGGTGCTTAACTTGGTTCTTAGCTCAAAAGAGATTAAAATTAAAGGTTTGATTGATGATTTTGCTAAGGAATGACTCTTAGCTAAGAGTCAAAAATTGGGCTAAGAACCAAAACTAAGCACCTCCCAATAATGTTGGTCTTATGGCTTATAACATCTTCATAAAGCCTGATTGCGTTCATATTGCTTTTAGGCCCCTTCTGTAGTATGTTCATTGCTTCTTACTGAATTCTAACTCATTCATTTGTTGGATGCTGTGCAGGTATTGGGATTTTTTATTGGCGCCATGAAGAAAACATTTCGGAAGCATATCTACAATACAGTGCAGGATGCTAAAACTATTTTGGAGTCTGCGATTTGTGCTTCCAGCTTACAGTTGCAAGATACTGTTGAGGAAGCCAGTCTTCCGTTCTGGAAGGAAGCATACTACTCACTGGTTATGATAGAAAAGATGCTAGAGCAATTTCCTGATTTAAGATTCGGAAAAGATTTAGAGGTATGCACTCAGTTGTATGATGCTATATGTAGTTTATTGTTGTGGTAGACTTTTGTGAAGTACTTGCCTCATTAATTGTTGCATCTTGAAGCTTTGATATATATTAGCTTATGATAGTTTTAAATGTTGCCCTGTTGTCAAGAATATAGGATCATTGCTCTTGTTTTGATATCAAATCTTGAAGTAGAGGTCTCCAGCTAGAAAGATTACTCCTCTAGCTTTATAAGCATCAATCACTACCATGGACTTAGTTGGAAACTTTTTTTTTCCTGAGCCTCTCATTTGTTTTCCCTTCTGTGATGATATGATGTTGATTTTTTTTCCTTCCCTTTTCTCCTTCGAAAGAATTAACATTACTTTGTTCCTATTGGATCTCATTTGTTTCTGATGTGTTTTTCAGGATATTTGGAAAATGGTGTTTAAGTTCTTGTTGCACCCACATGCATGGTTGCGAAATAAATCCTGCAGGCTCTTGAATCATTATTTTGGGGCATTAGCTGGGAGAAAAAGACCAGAATGTCATACATTTGTAGTGGATTCTCTTCTAGAGAGGCCAAGTAGCCTGTTCATGGTGGCTGTTTCTCTTTGCTTCCAGTTAAAGGAGCAGCCCACCATGGGCAACGTTGATGTTGATCTCCTCACAGCAAATATTGTTTTTGCGGTCTCTAGTCTTCATTCGCTGATTGGACAATCTGATCAAGAAACCTACAATGGGTTCTGGTCCAGTCTTGGTGAGGATGAGCAAGTGGTGTTCCTCAAAGCCTTTGAAGTGCTTGATTCAGGGAAAGGAAGGTCTACTTTTTTGGCTCTTACCTCAGGCAAACGTACTGAGAATGGTGAAGATGATGGGAATGATATAAGAAATGTATTGATCGGAAGTTTGCTCAAAAGAATGGGGAAGATTGCACTTGATATGGAAGCTGTTCAGGTTTGCGTCATTCCCTTTTCTGATTAAACCTTAGCTTTTGCAGGCTTTAGTAACTAAACTCATTATATATATTTGCTTGTGATATGCAGATGAGAGTTGTGTTCAACGTCTATAAAGCTTTTGCCTCGCAATTGAATCAAGAAGAATGTTACTTATATGCCTACAAAATTCTGCTTCCGTTGTACAAAGTCTGCGAAGGATTTACGGGAAAAATCATCACAGGTATTATAAGTTTTTCTTTTGTATGATTTCCATTTGCATATTCGGTTATGAGTCACAAATGTAACAAAACAGTATTGGTATGATCAGATGAGTTGAAACAGCTAGCAGAAGAGGTACGAGACAGTATAAGGGACAAGAGTTTAGGCAACAAAATGTTTGTGGAAGTTTACAGTGAAATAAGAAACAGTTTGAGAAGGAAAAGAGAGAAGAAAAAGCGAGAAGAGAAGCTAATGGCAGTGGTAAATCCGGAGAGAAACGCCAAGAGGAAACTGAGGTTAGCGTCAAAGAATAAAGCAAACAAGAAAAGGAGAATGACGAGCATGAAATTGTCTAGATGGGCTTGCTCTTGAAGAAACCCTTAATGAAATTTTGTTAATCTCATAGTAGAAGCAATCAGAGATAAATCACTTTTTTGAGTCTATGTTTCAGTTTGAAGTTTCTCAATCTTTTTTGATCCATTTTATCTAAATGACGAAAGAGAATTAAAAGCGAAAGCAACTGCAAACTTATCGTGACAAATTTGGAAACTAGTCATCATCATCATGCTTATGTTGCAGTCTCTTACTACCACTAAAATAAGAAGACGACGTTCAAAAACTATTCATTTATCCTTTTTGAGTTTCTGTGAACAAAAAAAAAAAAAAAAAAGACTTTTTTGAGTTTCAATCTACTGAGAAGGTATGAAGCAATCGTCATGGGGTTGCACAATCTTCATCCAATTATCTCTATGTCTCATCGTCTATGTGTCTCTGCATTTGGGTCACCCTTTCTTCTTCTCTAGTAACGACGACGGTGACAATGCCACACCTCTAGATCTTCATTTCATTTCCGTCTCCGGAGGTTTCAGGCCTCTTCACCACCAAACTCGCCTTCTCCGATTGGTTTGTTTCCCATCTTCTTAACGTTTTAGTTGGAACATGAAATTTGTTCAATTTATCTACTTATCGTCGAATCCATTGGTTTCATGATACAAAGTTTGGTTCTTTACAGTAGCTTCCTCAGGATCCATGATTTGAGTTTTATTCTACTTATTTTGTTTCTGCTTGATCGTTGAAGATGGAGAAAGTTGCAGAAACTTACAAGGCAAAATTTGTGCTGAGCTCAAGTGAACATGGAGAACAAGATTCACTCCTGCAAAATGTCAGCACTTGAACTTGGGTTCCTTGATCTGACAAAACAAAAGTTTTGAATCTCTTTTGGTCAGACAGTTAGTATGAGTAATGAGTGTATTGATCTTTTTGCAGGCGACTCGGCTGTCTTCTTCACTGAAACTTCCATGGTAACTTGATCCTATGGAATAGACCCTTTTAGTTTAACTTGAGTTCTGCTGATGTAACAAGAAGACTGATCAATTTGATGCGTTTTAGGTACACTAGAAGGAAAGGATTTGGATATTTCAGAGAGCACATCAAAATGCCTTTTGGTGGATCCTTGGATGTTGTTTTCGTAGACACTGGCTCACTGCAGCAGGTAGGATCAGTTTGTTTCCGTGAATTTGATAAAAATATATTGTTAGGCTTTTCTTCTGATTTTGTTGTTTCCTTATGTCTGATTAATTGAAAACTGAAGGAAGTGCTTGGTGGAGCATTGAATGGCTCTATGATCAGTCAATTGAAAGGGTTGGCAAGGATTCTGAAAGCAGTAGATGGAGACTGGTAAGTTGGCTATTCAGCTGATAGACTCCCTTGATCTCTCAACAACTTGTAGAAAATATTTTAACAAGTTCTCTATCGTTATTTGGTGACCCAGTTTGCTCTATGCTCTTTAAAATCCGTCCATATATGCTTGATATTACAGGCGTATTGTGGTTGGATCAGACCCGTTACTCGCCAATACTCTAACTAAGGAACCAGAGGAATCTAAGAGAGTTGCAAGGACATTTCATCAAATCTTGACCAAATATGGAGTGGTAAGACATTATATACCCCTTCGCATTGCCGAGAAATTTGATGGAATGAATCAAGTATATGATTGACATGAGAGGAAAAACTTTGATGATACAAGAACTTATATATAAGCAAAAAAGGCTGCACCAGCGGAGGCAACAATGAGGGCTTCTCTTGCATTATGGTCCCTAATCAACCAGAGAACCAAGGTCCAACGAATGATAGTATGAGGTAACAAGATCTCTTATGAGACATTATAATCATAAACTTTGAAAGCTCAATCTTAATGTCTGAGAGAAATGCATTTTTATTTATGTCAGAGAAAGGGAAGATGGGTTTCTTCTTCACAGAGTTAGCTTCTCAGAATTTGTAAGTAGTTTCTTCCACTAAATTCTTTCTTGTGTTTAGATATGTTTATCAAGACCAAGAAAAACATAACAAAGGTGAAATAACGTCTTCTTTGTTTCATACACAGGTTACTTATACTATCAACTCATCAGGAAAAGTCATTGACACAAAATTAGTTAAGCAGAAAGGCAAAGAGACCATCTAAGGTTTCATTACTTTTTTTGCTCCACACTGTTTATTTACTCCATTGTTGTTGAAGCGCACAAACATTTTGTATTCTTCGGTTAATGTCAGAAATACCCTTTGACCGGTACGAGTCTGAGTTGAATCGTCAGAGGGTAAAACTGGAAATTGGGTACTATAAACTTCCCCCAAAAAAAGGAGTGACCTTTAGGGTTTTGTTTTGGATTTGGTCTCTCATCATTAGTTTAAGTATGAGGTTCTGCTCCCGGAGGATTTTTCTTCCGGTGGAAGCAGAGCCGATGATTTCAAATCTTTCTTGACGAACCACTTTTTAAAGTGGTGATGAATCATCCAATCATCTCCTCCGTCACCACCACCGCCATTACTACTGATCTTCCTCGATTAAAGGATCTACTTTGCTTGGATCTCTATCTTCCTCTTCTTCTTCTTTTTTTGGGTTAAGCTCTCTTCTTCTTCTTCTTCTTCTTCTTCTTCTTCTAATTGGGAGACTATGATGATTCTTAAAAGTCAATAGACCAGACATTGTGGTAACACTCTTCTTTCATGGCGGGGCTGTAAGGAAAAAAGAGAACTCTTTTTTTCTTTGTTAGCAGCCATGGCTGAAGGGTTAATCCCCTAATTTGTCTGAGAAAAGGCGAATCTGAGTCCTTTCCTGTGACATGCAAAGATTTTATCAAAATCCTTTAAAATTGTTTATAAGTTTTGTAGAATCTAAATTTTGTAGCCATGTCTGAAGAGTTAAGCTTAGATGTATCATCGTTTTGTAGATCCGATGTGAAAAATGGGACAAAGACAGAGCTTATAATAAATTGATGATAAAGTGTTGTCAGTTGTCACACTAGTGGTTTCTATCATAAAAATCACATGGATGGGCATATGATTACTGTCAGATGAGTGTTGCCAAGAAAAAGATTTAGATTTCCGATTCTAAACCAAAACAAGATACAATTTATCGTCTTTATTGTTCTTCTAATTAATCTACAATTGTGAAAGAATCCATAGCATTATAGGTTGCTACAAAAGTACAAAGTGCAATACTGCAATGGACCCAAATTCTGAATTAATGAAACAACAAATGAAAGAAGATAACTAGGAAAAAAGTTTGTGCTGGCCAATGCAACTATAATTCATTAATTTGTGACAGCTCAACGCACTGATGTGATTGGAAATCTGTTTTGATCAAGAATCCAACTTAGTTGGCAATTATTCATTTTCAAAACTTGCCAGTTTAGGTTAATTTCTTGTGTTTATTACCCAACTGTGTCATCTGTTTACAACTCTTGTTTCAGGCTAGTCTACAGAAAAAGAAAACTGCCAATTAATTTCTAGTTCGGTAATAAACTTGCTTAGTCCATGTGGTTTTCTATGGTGCATTTAGTGGTCCAATGATCAACCTGTGTGTACACCATCTAGTGGTTTTCTATGGTGCATCTATTGGTATTTTCTCACTTGAAGCGTCCAATGATTCTCGAGAGAGAGAGAATCATGAAAAGTTATGTAAAAAAAGACGAAACGCTTCCTTTAGTATCTCACTTTTTTCCTCCACAAGTGTTTCCCTGGTAAACCAAAAGCTGATGCAGACACAAGACCAAATACGCATCTTCTTATATATTGTCTCTGTGTGTTTGAGTTGTTATTCTGCTTAGAGAGGAAGAGGGAGATATGGAGAGAATGTCAGCTTGTTTATGTCTTGTATTCCTCTTCTTAACTGTTGTTGCAGAAGCAAAGTATCCTCCTGGAGGTTCCTACCATCTTTTTTCTTTGAGACAAAACAGTAAGACCTCCAAGTCAAAGGCAGAGTTACCCTTTCACTTTCAGACACGTTACTTCCCTCAGAATCTTGACCACTTTAGTTTCCAACCAGAGAGCTACAGAATCTTCCATCAGAAGTACCTCATCAGCAGCCATTTCTGGCGCAAAGGTGGCCCCATCTTTGTCTACACAGGCAATGAAGGTGACATTGAATGGTTTGCTTCCAACACCGGCTTCATGTTGGACATTGCTCCCAAGTTCCAGGCTCTTCTTGTCTTTATCGAAGTAAATGCTTTTGCAAAATCGCCTAATGCATCTCTTATCTGAACAATCTGGCTTAAAAACACTAATGCTGCTCTGTTGGTCCGGTTTTTGTTCATCCTTGCAGCATAGATTCTATGGAGAGTCGAAGCCGCACAACTTGGCCAAGACATTGGGATACCTAAACTCACAGCAAGCGTTGGCTGATTATGCAATCTTGATAAGAAGCTTGAAGCAGAATCTATCGTCCGAAGCCTCTCCTGTCGTAGTCTTTGGTGGCTCTTATGGTGGAAGTAAGCTTACAAAATTCCAGTCAATTGTTCACTTCTTATTACTACAAATCGGTTCTTATCAAACTCTCGTCTGTTGTTCTCTATTTCCTGAGACAGTGCTTGCAGCGTGGTTCAGGCTAAAGTATCCGCATATCACAATTGGTGCATTAGCTTCCTCTGCTCCAATTCTGCAGTTTGATAAGATTGTTCCGTCTTCAAGCTTTTATAACGTCGTTTCTCAGGATTTCAAGGTCTGTATATTTCTATACAAAATGTATATTCAATAATGAGCTACTCATGCCTCTTATTATTAGCAGGACGCGAGTCTTAACTGTTTTGAAGTCATCAAGAAAAGCTGGAGAGAACTGGAGGTTTTTTCTACCATGAAAGATGGCTTACAAGAACTCAGCAAAAAGTTCAGAACTTGCAAGTAGAAAATTCTGTTATCCCAAACTCTTAACAAAGCTACTTTTCGAGCTCTCTAACCTGTGTTGTTTCATTCTCCAATCTTTAAAAATCACAGGGATCTTCACGCTGTCTATCTAGCCTCAAGGTGGCTAGAGACAGCCTTTACTGATACAGCAATGGTTAATTACCCAACTCCAGCAAATTTCATGGCTCCACTGCCTGCTTATCCAGTGGAGGAGGTAAGACATGTAAGGGAGTATAAATTTGTTTCTTTCTTGTACCGGTTAATTCACGACGAGACATCTTCTTACAACAGATGTGCAAGATCATCGACTGGTTTCCTTTAGAAGCCAGCAATCTTGATCGTGCGTTTGCAGCTGCAAGCTTATACTACAACTATTCAGGTTCAGAGAATTGCTTCGATATTGAAAACCAAACTGATCCTCATGGACTCAATGGTTGGTATTGGCAGGTATTCATGAGTCTATCTGTTTCCTTGTCGTTAATTATTCACAAGAATATACAAACTTACTAGTGGATCAATGTGACTATCGGATGAAAAAAAGGCATGCACAGAGATGGTGATGCCAATAAGCTGTTCAAACCAGAGCATGTTTCAACCATTCGAATATGATGAAAAAGTAGACCAAGAAGACTGTCTAAAGGAATACGGTGTCAAGCCTAGACCACACTGGATCACCACCGAATTTGGCGGACATGTTTGTTTACATTTTGCCTATTTTCTTTCCCAGATAACAGACCTAAAGCTCAGCTTTTGATCAGAGTCTGTTTATTGCAGAGAATAGAGATGGTGTTGAAGAGATTTGGCAGCAACATTATATTCTCCAATGGAATGCAGGATCCATGGAGCAGAGAAGGGTAAGTCACTCATTCCTCATTCCATGTCACTATTAAATCTCTATAAATGGCGGTAGACTTGATGTTTCTGTAATTTTCAGGGTTCTGAAGAACATATCGAGCAGCATCATTGCGTTTGTGACCAAGAAAGGTTAAACGTTTGTGAAATTTAAGAGTGAACACACATACACACACACACTTTGTTATAGACAAGGAAACTGAATTTTTTTTGTTCAAAGCAGGAGCTCACCATACGGATCTCAGGGCTGCTACAAAAGACGACCCAGAGTGGCTGAAAGAACAGAGGAGGCAAGAAGTTGCAGAGATAGAGAAATGGATCAGTGAGTATTACAGTGACCTGAGACAAGAAGAGCAAGCTAAGTAAAAGGACCAAACTCACCACCTTGCGTCTGTGATGAGATCGTACAAAATAATCGATTATTTTCTCCTTACAACCAAAAGATAAAATGATCACTTAGAGAAAATACCAATCAACAAGTAGAAGATAAGAATGAACTAAGAGAAACCCATGCATGCTAGTGCTAGCTAATAAATAGAAATCCATTGGATTTGTAGCTAATATCCCACCTACATGATAGAAAATATAGAAGCTAGCTGGAAGAGTGTAAACATAACAATGGGATAGGATGGTACTATCTCCCACAAACATAAAACAGTCTTTAAGTCTTAACATAGTAAGCAGAAGAGGTCATTGATGTCAAAGAGAGGTAGATTCTGACCTGCCTCTTACATTTGGATCTCTCGGTTTACTTATTATTATTGTGAAACGATGGAGAAAAAAGGTAGAAGAAGAAAAGTAGTACTAGTGGAGAAGAAGCAAAACCAAAGATTTTGGTCGAAAATTATATAAGGGAAACATTAACAACCCTTGGCCTTTTGGTCCCATTCGTACATGGCCTCTAGCTGTCGATTCTGAGAGTCAATGTAATGTTGCGGGACAGCACACATGGTTGTGCCACCCTTAGGCCCAGTTGCCTCTAACGCGGAATACGTAGGGTGAAGGATGAACCAAGCTGTCCATAGGGGGATGGGGAATGCTTAGATAACAACCAGGAATATAGACATACTCAAATTCACCCGAAGGAACATCTGGATAATCATCATGGTAATCGTCGACGGGGTCATGGTCACATATACGTTCACACAACATGATATCAAGTATTCTCTCCCTTCTCTCTTCCGGACCCATACTATCAGGAAATCCCTCATAACGGTAGTCAACTTCGTCATAAGGACATAATACGAGTCTACCATCATATAATATTATTTCAGTCGACCAAAGGGATTTGTAACAACGGACCTTTATTATAATTTCCGACAGGTTGCTTTCAGTTTACGAGTCACACCCATAGTTAGTCTTGACATAATGCAAGACTGATACAGTAAGATGTATAATTTCTGATACAAATGGAAAATACAGTGCCATTTAGGAAACAAAAAATAAAAAAGGGTCAAATTGTAAATTATTTGAAAGAGCTGTGTGAAACAAATGAAAGTATTGCGCCTTTTTGGAAAGGAAAGATTATGGAACTCGAAAGGGTAAAATCGTAAACAATTAGTGTTACAGTGATTACGTGAGAAATATGCACCACCGACATCTGAATCGGACTCATCAAAACGTGGTCGTTTTACTGTAGTTTCTCCGCGTTTGGTACATCACCACTTGTATGTAGCTGTGTTCTAATTGGGATTCTTCGTTTCTTTCGCTGACAGTGTTTTCTTACACACTAATCACCATTGTTGCTGCACTCCCGACTCCGATTCAGCATTTTGTTCTTCCGAAACGATGGCTCGTCGATCTGGAGATTGCATGAGATGTCTGGTGATTTTCGCGGTTGTATCAGCTTTAGTTGTGTGTGGACCTGCTCTTTATTGGAAATTCAACAAGGGTTTCGTTGGATCCACTCGTACCAACTCGCTTTGTCCTCCTTGCGTTTGTGATTGTCCTCCTCCTTTGTCTCTTCTCCAGATAGCTCCTGGTATGCCTACCTTTTTTTCTTTCTGATTGGATCTTGATGTTCCTCGTTTTATGATTGGATTCGTGATTACAAGTTTGTCTTGTGAAATTTAGCTCCTTTTTGAGTAATGATCATAATTTAGAGGTGCCCTTTTACTCGAATTTCGATTTGGTGAAATTTATTTGGATCTTGCTCTGAAGCATCTGATTTTGTTTGGTTTCAATATTGGATCTTTCAATCAAGCTGTCTCTTTTACGTTTGATTTCAGTAAGAAGGAATCTCGACCTGTATATTGTTTAACAAGTCGCTTTTTTTTCTTTTGCAGGGCTTGCAAATCTCTCTATTACAGGTTAGATCTCGATTCTGAGCTTGACTTTGTTTAGCTGCTATGCCTTTGTTGTTTCCTTTATTGTGTTTTTATCATGTTACAATATGGTTTGATAGTTATTGAGGAGCTTTCATTTCTGTCTAGGGAAGCTATCTGTAAGATTGGTTTCCTCGTAATTTCCTTCTTTTTTTCAATTTCATCATATTCCTGGTGTTTTCTAAGTCTAAAATCTTACAAGTCATTTGATGAATCAGTAGTCATTTCCAGTCCCGATAGAAGCTTGATGGCAGAACAGGCTTGTCTTTTTCTCACTGTTACTCTGATGGTTCTGTGTGCTCAAACACAACCATTTTATCAATCCCTTTCCGCATATAGTTTTTTTTGTTTGAATTCTCTTGTCAAGACGTGGCTTTCGTTGGTGCTTGATACCGGAAAATGAATTATGTCTTGTGTTATGAACAGATTGTGGAAGCGACGATCCAGAGCTCAAACAAGAGATGGAGAAGCAATTTGTGGACCTTCTGACTGAGGAGCTGAAGCTGCAAGAAGCAGTTGCAGATGAGCATAGCCGTCATATGAATGTTACCCTTGCAGAAGCTAAAAGGGTTGCATCTCAGTATCAAAAGGAGGCTGAGAAGTGCAATGCCGCCACTGAGATTTGTGAATCAGCTAGAGAGAGAGCCGAAGCTTTGTTGATCAAGGAGAGGAAGATCACTTCTTTGTGGGAGAAGAGAGCTCGGCAATCAGGTTGGGAAGGTGAGTAAACTGATTGCACTTCTCAGTCTACCTTGAAGAGTTTCTCTCTGAGAAATCGAATTTTCGCAACTCTACTCAAGTAAAGGAAATTGTTTAATTGTCAAGGCAAAGTCCTATCTTCCACGTTTCTCTATATATGTAGTTTTTGTTTTGTTTTGCCCTTGGATCAGAATGTAGCTAAAGAAAGGCTTGGCCTTGTATTAACTTTTCTTCATATATAATTGTCCATTTCTCTACCATGAAGTTTCACTTGCTTCTCTTGTTAGATAAGAAGTCGTTATGTATTTTATGGTTCATGTTCATTGGCAACCCCAAACCATCACATTCTCAATAACCAAGAACTAAAGCAAAGAGTGAGCTTAATACCTCAGCTAAACAAACCCGAGCTTTCTAAGCTCGGGTTATCTTGGGTTTGTAGAATGTTATTTCTCTCTGAAGTCTGTGAGTTGGTTCGATTGCATTGTAGCTAGATTTGGACTGTAATATGTATCATGTCTTAATCTAAAGCACAAGAGGATCAAGAGAATCACTTGGACTCTGTTTTCTTCTTTTTGCTTAAAAACCTAACAAAGACTGTTTCAGACGTCAAGAAACATGAGAGTTTGTGAACAGAGAGAAGAGCTGAGAAGAGACAAAAATTGGAGAAGTCAAACGCACTTAGCCTTAGGTTGACATAATTATGATCGCACCAGGTCTCACGCGGTTTCGATTTTCAATATTCCTTCATTCACAAAAACAGCTGTATTTATTTCTTTCTTTTTTAGCTTCAGCCATTAAAGTAGTCGGTTTGCATTATTCTAATATTCAGAGGGACAGAATCCATAAAAGCCTTAGATCTACGGCTAAAAGAAACAGATCTCGGTTCAGTGACTCCTGCAAACCGTCCACTCCATGTGCATTGTACAAAAAGTTCCATAAAGAAAAGATAGCTATTAGACTTTGGTTCTAGATTCAACTAATCTCTGTTTCTATTTTTTCTGTGTTCTTCTCCGAAGCTTCCATATTGTAGGACTTATGCTCTTTTCTCCTACTTAGGAACGTGCATTAAATTCATATCTATCTAGGCACAGAGATTGTTGATAAGTAATCGTACTTTAAATGGAAAATTCCATGAACAAGAGAGGACATGGACACAATCAAGAACATGCAGACAACTTGCCAGAACCAAAGAGACAGAAGCTTCCTGCTTTGGCAAGGTAACTCATATTTTACGTGTTAGTGTGTCGTAAATTTAATTGTTTTGGCTATGATTCTGAACTCTTTTTGGGTTGGACCTTTTTTTTATTTGTTCATTAGTTACACTGTCCAAAGAGCATAGAACTGTGGAAACATCTTGCTTTTCAAATTTTCGATAGTCTTGCTTAGCCTCGCAAGGCCTCAAATTTTCTCAGACGTTTTTGTATGAAAACAAAAACTGTTTTACAGTGTCATAGTGGAAGCTGTCAAGGTAGATAGTCTGCAGAGGCTTTGCTCGTCTTTGGAACCATTATTTCGAAGAATTGTGAGTATGATATCCTATTTCGAAGTTTAATTTCCACATAAACCAAATCTTGAGAAGCCTGTTGTGTAAACTTGGTAATGGTGTCGATATATGGACAGGTCAGTGAAGAGGTGGAACGTGCCTTATTTAGATTGGAGAACTCGAAATCTATTTCAAGGTACTTTCTCTAGTTATTTACCATATCCTTCGCTGGACTGGTTCCATGATCTTTACATCAATTTGAGTTTTCAGATCTCCAGAACCGAAGAAGAATCAAGGCCTTGATGGAAGAAACCTGCAAATTCGCTTCAGAACACGAATGCCTCCTCATTTATTCACAGGTGGGAAAGTCGAGGGAGAGCAAGGCTCAGCCATTCACGTGGTTCTTATAGATGCAAACACCGGAAATGTAATCCAAACAGGACAAGAATCAATGGCAAAGCTGATTATTGTCGTGTTAGATGGAGACTTCAATGATGATGACGACGAAGATTGGACGAGAGAACATTTTGAGAGCTTTCAAGTGAAAGAACGCGAAGGGAAACATCCCATCTTAACTGGTGACAGACATGTGATACTTAAAGAAGGTGTAGGAACTCTTGGAAAACTTACTTTCACTGACAATTCGAGCTGGATTAGGAGCAGAAAGTTTAGACTTGGTGTTAAGGCTCCATCGGGGTTTCACATTCGTGAAGCTAAAACAGAGCCATTTGCTGTTAAAGATCACAGAGGAGAACGTGAGTATCTTAAAACTTTGGAGAGACTTGATTAGCAGAGAGAGAGAGAGGGTTTCTTGGATTGTCTACCTGAATCTTGGATTATCTTTTGGCGATGTCTTTTTTGCAGTATACAAGAAACATTATCCACCGGCTTTACATGATGAAGTCTGGAGATTGGATAAAATAGCGAAAGATGGAGCGCTACACAAGAAGCTACTAAAATCTAACATCGTGACTGTTAAAGACTTCCTACGGATACTCATGAAGGATCCGCAGAAACTAAGAAGTGTATGTGCACCTTTAGTATTGTGAATATCTACACAAGAAAATGATTGTTTCTTGCTGATGTTCTTGGTGTGTGTTTAACAGTTGCTTGGGAGTGGAATGTCAAATAGAATGTGGGATAACACGGTGGAGCACGCAATGACCTGTGTATTAGGTGGGAAACTTTACGTCTATTACACAGATCAAACACACGAGACCGGTGTTGTCTTTAATCATATATATGACTTCCAAGGCCTAATTGTCAATGGCCACTTCTTATCTCTGGAATCTCTTAACCATGACCAAAAGGTAAGCCATTTGTCTGTAAAGCTAGCTTCCTTTTTCTTCTTCCCCCCTAGAATCTGCAGTCTCTTAAGATCATACTCAAAAAGTGATTTAAAGAGTTGAGCTTTGTGCAATTCAACAGATTTCTGCAGACATTTTGGTGAAGACAGCTTACGAGAACTGGCATAAAGTGGTTGAGTATGACGGTAAGATGTTGAATTGCTTACCAGTTGCTAAGAATGAAATAAAAATTGCTCAGAACCATCAAACGCAGCAGAAGACTCTGCAATGCCAACAGACTGCGAATGGCTACTCATGGGTTCCTCAGCATCTGATAGAGTATCCTTTAGTCCAACAACCTTGCAATCAGTTACGAGACTACACATCGATGGAGAGTTCTTCGGTTTCGGGCTCATACAATGGAGGCCTTGAAGATATGTTTACGGAGGAAATTCGAGCGAGGAGTTCTGAGATGCTGGAGACCGATGACATGCACAGATTGCTGAAGACATTTGGGATATCAGGCGGGTTTGGTCACAGGGATGAGTCCAGTTACTGTTTCAGTGATCGGTATGAAGCTCAGATAGATAAGGGTTATAAGAGAGAAGGAGGTAGAGGCGCAGGGAAAGCTGTAGTGGGATGGCTTAAGCTTAAAGCTGCATTGAGATGGGGTATCTTTATACGCAAGAAAGCTGCAGAGAGGAGGCCTCAGATTGTGGAGATCGACTAAGAAAGTAATATCAAAAATTCGGAGAGCTTTTCTTTTGTATAAATAAACTTGAAGCAATTACTTGTCTCAGTGTAATCCCGATTTAGCAATTACTATGTATATACTCAAGAGTTCATCTATTATTATACATTATCTCCACACTTCAATTAAAAAGAAAAATTAAGGATATAGATGATGAGAATGAATTTAACATTGCATCAACTTACTTACCATTATATTTTGGAGTAAAATCTTAAGACGTGGAAAATCGACGTGAGATGCCTGGACTAGACCATCATCTGTTTCAGAGATATTAAGAGAGCTTGTAGACGGCTGGTCTCCTCCAACACTCATATCAAGAACATATGTTTCGGTTAAAAAAGCCTCCCATTCACTTTTTTTAGAGATCATACGAAGATAGGTTGCGATTGCATGAGCCGGATTATCATCTGCAGAGATATCAACAAGAGAGGTTGTGGTTGTAGATGGCTGGATTCCATCAGTTTCAGAAAAGCCAGCTCCTTGGTTAGGCAAAATTCCGAGAGCTTTTCTTCCAAGGGCAGGGATTAGTCGGCCGATTTTAAGTCAAAACTTCACTAATGGGCCGTCTAATCTTAGGCCCATTTTTGGGGCGGAGCAAGTAGAGAGAAGAAACAACAAGTTCCTTCTTTCCGATTTCTTCTTCTGTCTCTCTCTACTTGGTGGTTCGTCGACTTCGTAGAAGCAAAATATGTTCTTGATTCGTCTCTCCCGCCATAATCCATCCTCTTTCACACTTCTCACGCGCCGCCTTCACGACCAAACAATTTCCTCGTCACGACTCCGAGACCTTTACAATTTTCAATCACCGCCGCCTCCGTTGTCGTCGTCAGCCTCTGAAAATCCTGACTTTAACCAGAAGAACAATAATAAGAAGAAGCCAAAGCCGCAGTACCGTCCACCTTCTTCGCTGGAAGGTGTGAAGACGGTTCACTCTGATCTTCCGTTTGATTTCCGGTTCAGTTACACAGAGAGTAGTTCAAATGTGAGGCCAATTGGCTTGAGAGAGCCCAAGTATTCACCTTTTGGTCCTGACCGGTTGGACCGGGAATGGACCGGTGTCTGTGCGCCGGCGGTTGATCCAAAGGTAGAGTCTGTGGACGGAGTGGAGGATCCGAAGCTGGAAGAGAAAAGAAGGAAAGTGAGAGAGAAGATCCAAGGGGCATCACTCACTGAAGCCGAAAGGAAATTTCTGGTGGAGCTGTGTCAGAGGAACAAAACTAAAAGACAAGTCAATCTTGGTATTCGTTTCTTCACTCCTTATTCATGAGATTTTGTTAAACGGGGAAATTTGAACGGTGTCTTTTTGTCAAGAGAAATATATTTCTGTGTACAAATTTCATCTTCGTAGTCACCAATAACGAATTGATTCTTTGTCTCTTTTGTATACTGCTATCTCTATGCTAAGTGGTTGCTTTGGGGCTATGTGTAGGGCGAGATGGTTTGACTCATAATATGCTCAATGATATCTATAATCATTGGAAACATGCTGAAGCGGTACGGGTCAAATGTCTAGGAGTCCCAACTCTCGATATGAAGAACGTTATATTCCACCTTGAGGTATCGTCTTTTATGAATCTGCTTTGAGTATATGATTTATGTTGTCTTGTTTGTCTTTTGATCCATGTACTTTTTTAGTCTTTAGCTATTTGGGGGATCTAAAGAATGACTCTTACAACCGTGTTGCTTGTTGTTACAGGACAAAACGTTTGGCCAGGTAGTCTCTAAACACTGTGGTACCCTTGTGTTATATAGAGGGCGAAACTATGATCCCAAGAAAAGGCCTAAGATCCCATTGATGTTGTGGAAACCTCATGAACCGGTGTACCCTAGGCTGATTAAAACAACAATTGATGGTCTAAGCATCGATGAGACCAAAGCAATGAGAAAGAAAGGGCTAGCGGTTCCTGCCCTGACAAAACTCGGTCCATACCTTTTCCATGCCTTTTTATTTCTAAATTCTGGTGGTATCAATATCCTTAATCACTTTTACCTGAAAATTTTGTTTCAGCCAAGAATGGTTATTACGGTAGTCTTGTTCCAATGGTGAGAGATGCTTTCCTCGTGAGTGAATTGGTACGGATTGATTGCTTGGGACTAGATAGAAAGGATTACAAGAAAATTGGAGCAAAGCTTAGGGTGAGATGTTTCTTCCTGTCTCTTTCACTTTTTTTGCTGTCCAACTTCATCTCCTGGTCAAGCCTTGGAGACCTCTTTACTGCTTCAGGTTTCTGTTTGAACAAACACTAACATCTAAGTTTGTGTGAAGGATTTGGTCCCTTGCATCCTGGTGACATTTGACAAGGAGCAGGTCGTGATTTGGAGAGGTAAAAACTATAAGCCACCCAAAGACGATGATGAATATTCGTCCTTCATTCATCGTGAATCTTCCATAGACTCCGATGGCGATTTAAGTTGTAGCAGAGGGGCTCAAGATTCTCCAGGCGAGACAACCAGAACCTAGGATGATTTAGTACTCTTGATCCCAGATGTATAGTTATAATGTGAGAGTAATTTGTGGTAATGTTTCTGGAGAATCCAGCCTTTTGACAAATTGATATAATTAATCCAAGTGGCTTACGTAATGTACTTATTTGTCTCGCTAAGGAACACTAGATAGGTCGAAGAAAATGCTGATTACATCTTTTCTATGTTGCTTCTCCTACAAGTAATGATGTGTTACAGAAACCCCCAAACTTGGTGCTACATTTTTACAGGAGATTGAACATCGAGCAAATACTCAAAAGCAGGGCAACATTCTACAGTGAAATACCTCACTAGATGATCTCTGTTCCGCCGTTGTCTGTGACCGTGTGTTTAGCATTGGTTTTGATCACATTGAGGAAATGACTCTGCACATGCGATGCCAAGGAAGGAATCTACCAAACCAAATGTCTTGTGATTCTGCTACTACCTTTTCCCGAATTTCAAGCACCGATTGTGCTTAGTCTCGGTTATACTAGGCTCATTAGTTAGTTGTTTGGGCGGTGGATTGGTTAGAGAGAGTTTCTCCATTGCGTTTACGAACTTTTTGAGGTGCTTGATGTACTCAGGGTAAGTCTCGAGGTTGCAATGCCCTCCTCCCTTCACCCATAATGGATCGTACTTCTCCTTGGCCAGCTCCCACAATCGTTTCCCGTGAGACAAATCAACAATCTCATCATTTGTGCCCTGCAGCAGCTCATCACAAATCAATTAGTACAAATATCAACAGAATGGAGAGTCACAAGATCTAAAAAGCTTTTACATACATGAATGACAAGGACTTGGGAGTTGACATGGCGAATCTTGTCTATGTTCTGCAGTAAGACATTCAAAACAAAGAGATGAGACAGGACCAGAGTATATATCTACCAAACCAAAGACGCATGTTTTGTGTGTGTTTTCGTACTTTGAATATATCGAACCAGAGCGTCATTTTGACAGGATAGAGGACTCTGATTCCAGAGAGAATGGCGCTGTGAAGAACAACTCCTCTAAGCCTCTTCAACCGAGAAGCCATGTGCAACGTTGGACCGCTTCCTACAGACTGTCCGTACAGAATAATCTCCTCTTGCTTGATCCCATAATCGCTCCTCAAGCAATTGTACACTGCCTCTATGTCATAATATGTGTTGAATTCAGACGGCTAAACCAAAAAGAACCGGAAGAAAAAAGAAAAAAAAGGTCAGAAAACAAAAACATCTGAGTAAATCACATTAAGGTTTTATAATTTTGAATGATTTCTCTTTTGTTACCTTTCCTGTTGAAGCTCCATAGCCTGAATAATCATAACTGTTTAAAAATGACATCAGAACATTAAAAAAAAAAACAAGTCAAATGTAAGAATCTAACAAAAACCTTTTAAGTTTTTTTTTTTTTTCTGTTGTGTTTAATGATATACCTCATGATGTTGACGCGTAGATGAGCACGGAGCTCGATGAAGAGCTCGACCATTTGGCCAAGATCAGCAGCATTACCATGGGAATAGAGAAGCGTGAATCTCGCAAAAGGGTGTCTCCAGAACGTGGCAACAACTTTGTTACCGGACTTTGTGGTGAGCTGGTGGACTTCCACGTTCTTGTCCGCCGACACTCCGGCGAAGACCAGCTTCCCTGTCTCGTCATCCTTCGTTACGCCGTATGTTGCTGGCTCTGGCGGGAAGAATGCGAACTTGGCCGCCACATTTGACGTCACATTACCCATTTTAATCAAAATCCAACAAGGAGGATTACAAAAGAAGAGAAGGAGAAAACACCAAACCCAAAATCTCCCTCTCTCTTTCTCTCTCTCTTTGTCTAATAAAAGAATTATTAAATTGTTTTTTTTTTGTTGTTTTTGTTGTTTTTTTTTGTTGGGTGGGTTTGTGTTAACTTGTTGAGAGGTAAGAAAATGGAGAGAAGGTGGAGGAGGAGAGAAGAAGGGTCCGAACTTGTCGGGGGAAAGAAGAAGATATGAGCTGTTTTATGAAACCAACTTCTACACCTCTCTTCTTTCTTTTTAGACTTCATGTTTTTTAAAGGGGTTTTTTATAGAATCATTATTAAATCTTTAGATTCTTAGGATTTAATATATATGAGTCTATGATAAGTAAGAAAGAAGCTAGTCTAGATTTTTTCAAAATATAAATGGTAAATGTCACACAATGTTTGAAGAATCCTCGTGCATGGTTTGGTAAATTCTGATGGCGTAATACAAAAATTCCTTTTTGTTTAGGTCAAAATGAAATTCTGTTTTATGTAACAACTAAAAAAATTGGATTAAGTTTCTTAAAACTTGTGTTCATCTTTAGGTGATGTCATATTTGATTGTGCTTGTGCCTTGAAATGAGAGTTTCACATAAGAACGAAGGGCTAAGATTTGGTCAAAGACTGCAAGTGATGGCTTTTAATGGGAAGTGTTGTCAGAGAGTCAGACATTCCTCCATCTATGTCTATTTTTCTCTTGCCTCCTTATTATTTACCTAAATTATCTTTAATACCACTTGTTCTGTTTTTTTTTCATTTTGGTCACGTTTTCACTTTACAATTTCCTGCCCCAGTTTTTGTTTAAAGTACAATAAAACAACAAAGAGACATTGTCTTGTTTGGACAAGTATGCTTTTTATCTCTGACACGATTCTGTGTGCTTTGGACTTCGTCAGCTTCAGATTTTGACCAAAAACTATTAGCAAATGGTCTAAACTAATGATGATTCAGTTTAATTTATTGATTTGCCATAACAAAATGGGGCAATTACAGGTCTATAATAACTATTTGCAGAGAGTTCGTTGTAGATAACTTTTTCTACAAAGGTATCTGACTGATCTGCTTAGAGTTAGAGATCTAGTAAAGAGTAAACTAGTAAAAAAGAAGAAGCTACTACACTAATATAGTCCATATACTCATTATCTTTGCACATGCAGGGATGCTTGATATAGCATATATACGTGTATATCCTACATACAATTCTGACGTATGTGCATGACTTGGTCCAAATTGGTGTAGATCTGTTGTTTGGTGATAACTATATGTATATGTTGATGAGATCTCTAATTAGTATAAATATATTCGTATTCCATCATTTTTTTTTAATTTTTTTTAATTTTTTTTTTTTCGTATTCCATCATTTGTATTACACTCTTTATCATCTTTTGGAATTAGCTTCAACATTATATGTTTTTCAACTAACTGTTTTGATTTCTACTTTTATAATATTCAAATATTAGTATTTAAACTTTGGATAAGTGAAAGATACCACTTTAGCTTTTTGCTAATCAAAACATTGTACATTTCTTTGCATGGTCAGCTTTGAAGACATTGAGAGGTTGGTCCAAAAGAGAGAAAAGTGTCTTCAGTCAACAAAAGCATGAGAGAGTTTTGTGTGGAAGTTTGAGCTCTTAAATCTTAATCATCAAATCAACCATAAAAAAGCAAAAAAGAAAACCCAAGACACAAGTAAAAATGAAGACGAGACTTGTATAATTCCTTCACTACTTTTTGTATTTTCATATCTAATTTCTTTTGAACACTTTATGTAACAGTAATACGATTAACATATGTAACTTACCATGTGAAGATTACTATTTCAAAAGTAAACGTAGGCCCAAAGCCCAAAGGGCTTCTTTTGTAGGTTTGTTTATTGTGTACATGACAAAGTATACTGGTGAGAGAGCCAGCAGCTTAGTCTCTCAATTCGTTCACCAAAAATTCAACAAAAAAAATTAAGATCAAGATGAGTGACAAAAAAATAGCCTATGTTTCTCTTATGTCTATATGAACGTAAATAAAAGCTGAAGAATGGTTTGTGTGATAGAGACACAGAACTCGAGTGGAGGGTTTTAATGGTGAGTACTACTCAGTGACGTTTCATCTCCTGGAATATGTTGGAAACTCTCGGAGACAGTCTTGGAAGGAACTTAAACAGCTGCATAAGAAGAAAAAAAAACAGTTGGGAAATGCAGAAGAGATAATGAGCCCAGAACAAGAAACAAAGGAGAGACACAGAAATCAAAAGAGGATAAAAAAGGAGAAAAGAAGATACCCAGAGCTTAACACAAGCGTCCATAATAACGGGAACTAGGCAGATAAAAATGGTAATAGTAGACTGCTCAACTTCGAGACCATAATGTTCCATAATTATCTCTAACAATGTCTCCCATCCAGATTCAGAATGGTACCTATAAAGAGAAGCATTAAGTTATATACCTTCATTGCACAAACGGGCTATTGACAGAGCCAACCTATCGCTAATATTAGGTTATTGGAACACTAACAACTTTGATTTAACATTTGTTATGAGCTTTATTTCTGGTGTTTGCTCTTAATGAAAGCAACGATTTGGACATTTACCCCAAGAAAATGTCGGTGATTAGGATGATGAGAAATGCCTTTCCCGTGTCTGAAATGTTGTTTATGATTTTATACCCCGTAAATTTCAACAAGGCTACCTGAAAAAAGTTCATGCCGTAACCGAAAAAAGGCAAATGTTAAACAAAATGGGTTTAACAGATAGCAGCTTGAAAGGAAACTTAGAATGCCATTCTAGGTGGGCTAAATCACGGTTGGAAACGGAAACTTACTCTACCCTGATTGGCGTACAGAAGAACAAACAAGGAGATCCCAAACACCATATCAGACCATATGTTGGCAAATGCTTTCCGGTTCTCTAATCTCCACTCATCTCGCAGCTCCAAACTGTTGAAGAAACCAATGGGAGGAACACAAAAAGAAACATAGTGAGGCTATGCGTGGAGATTAACTATCTGGTACAAGATCAAGATAGGTTTACAACCCTTGACATCAAAAGAAAATAAAAATGTGGAGTTGAGTCTTACGCTTTACCCCGCATCTCCCACCATAACTCATCGTCAGAAAGAGGAGGAGATTTGCCAATCTCAACTTCGAGACGGTACCTAGCTTTTTCTCTATTAAGTTCCTTTACCATTTCTAGCTTCTGATTACGTCTCACATCAAGCGCCTGGGCAGCAAGTGGTACAGTCTTCACATATCTATAAGTAAAGGCACGGAGTAAATAATTAAACTGGGGACTAACACAACGTAAATAGAGACATAATCTGGGGAAATTAACAGAAAAAGTGAAGAAATCACCTGTCTAAGAAGGGCATAAGTACATAATCATGGGACAAAAAGTCTAATGCCCATGGAATGAGGATTAATACCGCCAAAAACTTTGCCTGTAAAGAGTTACAATGTCAATGAGCATTGATCAATCATCAGGAAGAACATTAAAATCAAATAACAAATGGACTAAGAATCACACATATCATCAATTAAAGAACAAGATCACAGAGAGAGCTATGTAGCATAGTGAAACTATCACATAACTCACCGATTTTGAAGAAGCATAACGGAAAACACGGTCTTCGTATAGAATATCTTCCTCTTCTGCTCCTAAAACCATATCCCTCACCATTTTAACCAACCCTCCGTCTGGAATTGTCAATTCATCGAGCTCTAATTTGTCGTCACTTCCTTCACTACCAGCAGAGTCTCGGCTCCAAGACTCAACTAAACTATCATCTGAATCCACAATCCAATCCTCCCATTTCTTGGTCACATCATCAACAACACCACTATCCCCAATCTCCTCCTGACCTTCCCGTAGCTCCACAATCGCCTCAGCTCGTCTCTTCCAAGTCTCGAATTTCTCTTCATCAGACATCTCATCATCCTTTGCAAGCTCAGAAGTCTCATCAACAATGTCCTCGTCCCTCAAACCAAGCCAATTCCCATCATCATCAAAGAAAAACCTCTGCCACCAGCTTCTTCTCCTCTTATTATTACCCGTGTGACTGTTATTATTCTCCGCACTGGGAACAAATCTCCAAAGCCTCTTCCTTCTCTTACCCCACAACGAAATCGAGTCACAAGGCTTGTAACGAAGAAAAGACGAAGATGATTCAGGAACTGGGTTTTGACTACTGAATGATAAGCAGTGGCATAAGACCATTGACGAGCTCATCAAGGACATGAATCAAACCCAACATTGTTTGGACTTTAATCTCAAAGCAACAAAACAGATTCTTCAACGTAACCCAGACAAACCAGCATATCTTTCTTTGTAAATTATACAACTTCACAAAGCCCTTAAACACGAAATTCGGTGAAGATAAGAATTAGGGTTCTTCTGCCCAGAAAGTTACCGAGAGAGAGAACCAGAAGCAGACCCCAATTGTGGATGATGATGGACCAGATGATAGATAAAGCCACTCTTTTTTTTTTTTTGTTATCTTCTTCAAATTAAGCATGTAAATATCTGTTATCCATAAAGATTGCTTTTATTAAATAATTATTTTTAGGGTCAAAATTGTTGTTTCCGTCGTTTTTGATTGGCTAAAATTGAATTACTGTATATTTCAGAAATATATTTAAGTAAATTCCATTTCTTCTTAAGGACCGTGTTATGGAGTTGCTGAATGGAGTAGAAACTCTAATTTCGGGCCTTCATCATCACCATCGTACTAACGCAAAGAGAAACAGAAGAGCCAGATCTGTCAAGATCTTAAACTCAGGGAATCATCAAATCCCCAGAAAGTAAAGTTTACTACTTCTTTGTAACTCACTGGCTTTTGCTCTCTTTTTTGTTCTGTTTGAGGCATTTTAACGAACACCTTCCGTGCAATCACTATCAATTTTGCAGGTGCCAGTGTTTTGATCTTTACGACCAATTGGTTCCATACAAGAACGCTTGGTCATGGCAGAAGAGCATTGTCGAGGAGAAAAAGACATTGATTGATAGAAACCAAGACTGCCCCGATACAGTGATTTTATTACAACATTCTCCTGTTTACACAATGGGAACTGCTAGTACAGAGGATTATCTCAATTTCGACATAAAGGATGCTCCTTTCGATGTTTATCGAACTGAACGTGGTGGCGAAGTCACTTACCATGGCCCTGGTCAGGTAATAATGTCAACAATGCATTGAAAGTTTGTGTGTGTTTCTTATGAGCTCTTCAATCTGATAATAGATATGTTTGGGAATGTAGCTAGTTATGTATCCTATAATCAATCTTCGAAATCACGAGATGGATCTTCATTGGTACCTCAGGATGCTTGAAGAGATTGTCATCCGTGTGCTTTCCTCAAGTTTCTCCATTAAAGCTTCTCGTCTTGACAGTTTAACTGGAGTTTGGGTTGGTATGTCTCAAATCTCAAATGGATGATTTTGTAAGTGAGCTAATATATATTGCGAGATTGATTTATTTTTGTCTGCAAATGGTATATAGGTAGCCAAAAGGTGGCGGCGATAGGTATTCGTGTGTCGAAATGGATAACATATCATGGTTTAGCTCTTAATGTCACAACAGATCTAACACCATTCAACTGGATAGTTCCATGTGGGATTAAAGACCGAAAAGTTGGAAGCATAAAAGGCTTGCTTGAAGATGGAGAACACGGAAAGGTTGATGATTTGACGTTGATTCATGTAGCTCACGAGTCTTTACTAAAGGAATTCTCTGAAGTTTTCCAGCTTCAAATCGAAAAGCAAGCAGTTCCAGATCCTAAAATTCTGAAAGCTGAGCCTTTCAAACGATTGGAGTGCTAAAAGGAAGGTGTTATTGGTAGAACATAATCCTGGCAATCTCTATACCATTCTTGTTAAGTTTTGAACATAAAACATCTTATCTACATAGAAGGTTTTATTGGATATTTGCGAAATTGTCTGATTCTTGTGGATGATTGTGTGAGATTGGTCTATCTACTTCTCTTTTGCTCTGTAAAGATTTGTGACTTAAGGGTTTTTGAAAAGGGTTTAAGACATTGCTAGTTTCTGAACACATCCTTCCCAATTTTAGGTCTCTTTGGTAGTGAAGAATCGTAGTAGCTGGAAACCAAATAGTTACTCGCCTAAGATTCCGTCCTTCGAGCCCCTTAAGATGGTGCATAAAAATCAGTTTGTATCCGAATTTTCCAATAAGCATATTCTTGTGCGTGCTGCATTTTGTCATTTGCTGTAAGTGAAGGCCAAGCCAATGCGTTAAGAGAGAAAGGTAGCAATTACAGTAGTCTGATGAATTCGAATCTGTTGAATTAAATGCGTTTGCCCTGTAGAAAAATTTCCATAATTACATGATATTTACTTAGATGAGTAACCTGTCTTTTTTGCAGTTTCCACAGTTAACCTGTTTGCTGATGGAGATCCATGTGCTAAGTATGACCATCATCAATGATCCCTTTGCAGTTAAGTATATAACTATGTAATTGCGATTATATGATCCTAGTTAATGTTTCTGATATCAGAAGATCTGCAGAGCATTTTACCTTTCTTTCCCCTCTTTCCCTTTTCTCCAGTTTGATTCGTTCTTTCCATTTTATTGTCGTTAGGCTTGGTTCCTCGGATCACAGGAATACGACAAGTGGAGCGGTTCCAATTGTTTCCAGCAAGTGATGTCGATCTAACTTAATGCTTTCACCGCTTTTCTAGTTAACATATGGAAAAAAAACATTAGAACTTTTGCTAGCTTTGGATTGATCGATTGGTATCTTCAGAAACTGCGGTGGTTCGTACGCGTGTCTCAACTTGGGAAAAAAAACGGTCATCTGACTTTTAATAAACCGTAAGTTCTTCCTCTCCTTTTTACTTTCTTTTTGCGGTGTCTCTCCTTTAAGAAACGTATGCTTGACAAATAAATTGGCTTTTACCTTAGTAGTCGATCCCCGCGGATGCAACTCTCGAGGAATCTACTACGCTGGCACAATCGCAATTTCTCCACTGCCACGTGCTGTTGATAAACATCGCGTGCCTCTCCATTTCATCTCCACCTGCTCCATAGTTCAACACAAATGTTCTTTCTGCTTTCGATACCCTTACTTTTCAGTTTCCACAGTCCCTATACTTGTGCATAAAACTGTAAAACACTACTCTGAAAATTCTGCTTCTGTTAGGGATATAATGCCACCCTCTCCTCCTAAATCTCCTTTTATGAGCTCTTCACTGAAAGAAGCTCATGAAGATAGCAGATTTAAATGCTATAGGGGTGTCCGAAAGAGGTCGTGGGGCAAGTGGGTGTCTGAAATCAGAGTTCCAAAGACTGGAAGACGAATATGGCTAGGTTCATACGATGCTCCAGAGAAGGCAGCTCGAGCCTATGATGCTGCTCTGTTCTGTATTAGGGGTGAGAAGGGAGTTTACAATTTTCCCACTGATAAAAAGCCGCAGCTTCCAGAAGGTTCTGTCCGGCCTCTGTCCAAGCTCGACATACAGACAATAGCAACAAACTATGCTTCATCAGTTGTGCATGTACCTCCTCATGCCACCACACTCCCGGTAACAGCCCAGGTTCCCTCTGAAGTTCCTACTTCCCCTGATGTATCTGCTTCTACTGAGATTACAGAGATAGTCGATGAATATTATCTCCCAACCGATGCAAGTGCAGAATCAATATTCTCAGTAGAAGACTTGCAACTGGACAATTTCCTCATGATGGACATTGATTGGATAAACAATCTAGTCTGATGTGTGACGTCACTTGCAGTGACATTTAGCTTTAATATTGTTGAACTACCAGTTACCTGTCTCTTTATTTAGCATCCTTGTCTTTTTTTTTTTTTTTTTGCCAGTATTTAGCATCCTTGTCTTTGAACTTGTTTTGTTTAGCATGCATTTTGTTGTTCTTGTTTTGCATGTGTATTCTCTTTCTTTCTTTTTTCCCTCTCTGCTGGACTTCATGAGATGTTGAATATGAATGAAATGATTAGGAGTTGGCGTTCATACCTAAATCTGTTAATGCATTTCTTTTTTATATCGTTCCCAGATGATCTGCTTCCTTTTCTATACTTCTCCAATTACCAACCTCTACAATAATAGACTAGGACTTGAAATCAACTTGTGGATATTAAACAACATTATGCCAGCATATACTTGTGCTAGGCTACACTGTATACATATACTTCTATCTATCCCAGGTTCGAAATGATATTCTATAATAGCTACTCCATCATGATGTTGAGATGAAGGACGCGATTCATGAACCGAGTCCTTCACCTCAAGAACATCATGAATTAGCACAATTACACAAGGCCAGTTGATGATAAAAAGCTCAAATACAATTTTCTTCCGGGCTTCTCTTGAAAGGTCCAAGCTCTTTATTTTCATGCCACAGAAACTGGATAACTCACAAAGCTTATGGAAAAAAAATCCTGTATATCAGTTCTGTTGGCAAAGCCTCAACCAAGCCTCTGTGAGCTGTTTGGATTCCAGTTTGGCAGTGCTTTTGGCTTTCTAAGTTGCTCAAATCCCATAATCATCAATATTGATAATGAATATCAGTAAAAAAGATATTGCATGGTAGTGTGTGCTAGTGTCCTCCTGCAAGAAAGAGATAAACAGCACTGATGAGCTCAAGGTTCTGATTAAACCACAAAAATACATTACATTACCTTTGGGATTCAGAACTTGCAGGCTTCATTTATGGTATCTCTTTCAGATCCATATTTAGTGTAGTATCACATCAACAAAACATCAAATATTTACGTAGCAAAGCAGAACACGTCATAAACTCGTGAAATGATCATACTAGCATCCTCAGATAGGTCCATGCAATAACAAAAAGCATGGATTAGAATCTGTGTCCATGTAACATTAACAATCTTGTAAATCAAATTCAGCAAATATTTACGAACTATTCCTTACTTCAGTTGGAACATTCTGCATCAGTGATGCTGCTTTTGAAATGCAAAAAGAGAACTGTCCTTAGATAGAATCTTCATATAGGACGCCACGATTTTCCTTGGTAATCTAAAATCTGTAATTCAGAGTTCAATTTTACTAAATCCGTAGCATTTGTTCAGTTGCCGTCTTTGCATAAACTTCCACACTTCTTCTGCAGCATCGCAGTTACCAGATTCTGTGTGAATCTTGCTAAGCAATACATAATTGGCTGGATTGTCAGGTTCAGATTTCATTAGCTCGTTTGCAATAATTTTACATGCAACATCAAGCCTGCCATGAGTCTCACAAGCAGATAGGAGAGAACTCCATATTCTGGCACTTGGTTTCATGGGCATATTTATTGTGACCTCAAAGGCATCGTCAATCTTTCCAAACCTGCCAAGAAGATTGATATAGCAAGAATAATGCTCCAATGTGACTGGCATGTGGTATTTCCCAGCTTGTGTGAATATGGTTTGAGCTTCTTCTACCAGGCCCGCATGGTTGCAAGCCGATAAAACTGCAAGAAATGCCATTCCATCTACTTCATGTCCAGCTTTTATCATCCCTTTAAAGATTTCTAAAGCTTCTGAACCATGTCCATGAAGACCGTATGCGTTAATCATTGAGCTCCATGACACAAGATCTTTCTCATTAAGTTCATAAAATACTTCACGCGCTGCAGGAAGACTGCCACACTTTGCATACATATCTATGAGGGCGTTGCTCAATAAGATATGTGACATGAAGCCACATTTCAGGATTTGAGAATGGACTGTAGATGCAATTTTCAACGATGCTGAATGGGTGCAAGCTGAGACAACAGCCAACAGAGTAACCGAGTTGGGTTCACTTCCTTCTTTTCTCATTTGACTTAACAGATTCATAGCTTCAGAGCAATCTCCATTCTCCGCATAGCCGCTAATCATTGAACTCCACATTACAACATCTCTCACTTTTGATGTTTCGAAAAGTAGCCTAGAGAGACTTACACTACCACATCTGCAGTACATGGTCATAAAAGCAGCTATTAACCGATCGTCAGAATGGAATCCATGACGAAAAGAAAATCCATGAATCTCCTTCACCAGCCTTAAGCCATATCCTAATTCTACACATGCAGGTAAAACAGACAACAGTGTGACACGATTGGGCCTCAAATTTTCTCTCTGCATTGCTCGAAAAAAATCAATGCCCACTTCATAATTATAATTAGCAACACAACCGGAGATCATGGCAGTCCATGAGACCTCATTCTTCAGCTCCATTTGATCAAACACATGGAAAGCCGCTGCAGGATCATCAAACTTTAAGTACATATCAAGCAATGCCGTTGATAATAGAACTGATTCCTGTATCCTCTCATCAACAAGAACAAGAGCATGAAGCATTCTTGCTACCTTACTGCTGCTTCCCATGCGGGTGCAGAGAGCCAACAGAGATGCAACCAGCTCGGACTTCGGAACAAAACCATAAAAATACATCTCCTTAAGCAACTTCATCGCTTCAGACAACAACCCATCCTGGCAATAACAATTGACGATGGAACAATAGCTAACAGTATCTCTTTGAAGCATTTCATCGAACACCTTACGCGCAGCGTATGCTCTAGAAAGTTTCGCATACATAGAGATGAGAGAATTGGAAACAACTGTATCACGATCAGCGCCTGACTTAAAACAAAGGCAATGAAGCTGTGCGCCAAGTAAGAAAGGCTCTTGTTGAAAAGAGCAAGCTTTGATGACAGAAGGAAGAATAGCTGTGAAGCCATTGGTGCCTAAAGGATGAATATTTAGCTTGTACAGTCTCAATGCTTCATCATGGAGTTGTCCCGACACCAAACCCTTGAGCTTATTGCCGAGCTCCAAGTTTAAGCGGGAAGAAAAAGCTCTTGACATTATAACACTTTAACACATCTCTTACGACGAGTAACAAACAAGTAATCATGCCCACTATGACTGTATAATTATTCTTGTAATATAGTTTCTATTTAATAAAATAAGCAACAAGCACCCATGGCCTAATGGATAAGGCGCTTGACTTCTAATCAAGCGATTGTGGGTTCGAGTCCCACTGGGTGTGTAATTAATTTTTTGTTTTTTAAATTTTGGGGTTACAAGGCAGAGAATAATTAAATATCTAAATTCTAATTAGATTTAAAGCCCAATAAAGTTGGAAAATGGTGGGCTAGTAAAATGGGTCGAGGTTTTTGAAGACAGAAGCACGTGGAGATCACGTGAGTTGACGTCAAGGGGAGGTGGCTGGTACCGGTGGATCTCGAATTCCTCCACCCTTTCCCTTTTGGCTTCTCGAAAGAGAAGAAAACTGTCGGAGAGAGAGAGAGAGAAGAAGGCAATCACCATCGCCAGTTGTTCTGTTCTTCGAGATATTCAAATTCTCCGTCTCTAGAGAATTTCAGATCAAGAGAATCAGGCAAGTGGGCGATTCTCTGATCCCGAGTCAATCAAATTCTGGCTTCCCTCAGGTTCTGATGAATCGATTGTTTGCTTTTGCAGTTTTTCCGGTAGTTTGTGGTGGTGGTGGTTGGAAGGAGACAGGATATGGCGCAGGAGCAGGAAGGAGCGGTGGTTGAGAGCGATGTGCCGAATGATTCCGTCGCCGCTGCAGTGGCCGCAACCGCAACCGCCGATAGCGTGAAGAAGAAGCAAAAGGGATTCTTTTCGCGTTTATGGAATGGGATATTTAGGGTTAGAGGTGACGATTTTGAGAAGAGACTTCAATACATCTCAAAGGAAGAAGCTACTGTTTTATCAAGGATGAAGCGTAGATCGATTACATGGAGGAAACTCACCAGAAATCTCATCGTTTCCTCCGTATTATTCGAGGTCAGCGACATTGGATTGTGAATTTGAATGTTTTAGTTTGTGTGTGCTTATATAGATTGTGATGATGTGGTAAATATGTTACCTTTTTAGATAATTGCTGTGGGTTATGCGATCCTAACTACCAGAACGGAAGATTTGGATTGGAGAATGAGGAGTTTCCGGATCCTGCCAATGTTTATCTTACCTGCTGTTTCTGCTCTTGCTTATTCCTCAATTGTCAGCTTCTCAAAGATGTGTGAGTTTTGTGTTTCTCCTCCTTCGTTTATGTGCTCATTTCATGATTACGATGTTGGTATTTCATTGTTACTAATCGTTTTTCCGTGTATAATGCTTGTTTTATAGTTGACCGCAGAGATCAAAAGACCTTAGAAAAGCTTCGAGCAGAAAGGCTGGCTAAAATCAATGAGCTTAAAGAAAGGACCAATTACTACACCACACAACAACTGATTCAGGTGATAAACTAGTCTTGAGATTAAAGAGCATTTTGAATGCGCACTACAGCCATCTTTAATTTTTATTAGGTTTCTGCTGTTTGATCACTTCCATTAAGTACGGATGCTTGTAGTTGCAATGGTTATCATTTATAGTGACTGTGCTCAAAGATTGCTTGTCATACTTTGGGATGATGACTATTATGAATTGGAAGTTTGAATCTTAACGTGACTGTAGTATTTATTACCAAATTGATAAGCATCCATGCATGGCATAGCCCTGCAATATGTTCAGTAACTCGAAAGAAAAGAATGGATGCTGTTGCTTTTCACTGTGAGGAGCTTAATTTACTGGAAGTAGAGCTGGTGCTAACATGAGCCTTTTGATGCAGAGATATGACCCCGACCCAGCGGCAAAAGCAGCTGCTGCAACTGTCCTGGCATCCAAATTGGGTGCCGATTCTGGTTTGAAAGTATTTTTAGGAGATGAATCCCAACTAGATCCATCCTCGGGCAAGAGCAATGACATGGAGGTTAACCAATCACGTGGGTTGAGGAATCGAAGACAACCAAATACAAGACCCCACGGTTCTGGGAGCACTTCAACACATCACTCTGATGATGAGTCTCACCATTCTGGAACAAGCGAGAGATTTCCAGGCGCCACGGAGCAAAACCAGCAGATGTTGGTTGAGCATTACAGCCCTCAGGGATATGCTGCTCATGATGGCAGTTGGATCTCACGCATTGCAGCTCTACTTGTTGGCGAAGATCCCACACAATCATATGCACTCATTTGTGGAAACTGTCGTATGCATAATGGTGAATGAATGTTTAAGCTTCATCCTTTACCTGAATTGTGTACTATAATATACTGGTTTCTAACATAGTTTTGCAATGTGTTTTATAATTTGTGCAGGACTTGCTCGGAAAGAGGATTTCGCATACATTACATACTATTGCCCTCACTGTAATGCTCTGAACAAACCGAAGCATACAGAGGAGAATGCACTTCTTCCTGCTGTTTCCGCTTCACCGATCACAGACTCACTGCCATTGATTGAAACCAGCGAAGTGGTTAATAGCAGCAGCTCGAGTAGTGAACGTGGAAATAGTCCCGCTCCAGAAATAAAAGAGGAAGCTGTGACTGCTGAGACCGGGACAGCTAGCTGAGGAAGATTCAGTGAGCTAAAGAAGAAGGCTTTCTTGTGTTGCTGTTACGGAAAGAGAGAGAGGGAGAGAGATTGTGTGTGTGTGTGTGTTTGTGGATGCGAGTACTCGTTCAGGTAATCTTATGCTAAGAATTGAATATCTGAAAGCTGCTTACTTACAGTTTTGATTTTGGTCTGTTTCTATACAGCAAGACAATAGGGTTTTGGTGGGTAAATATACGATTCTGATGTCGTAAACTATGATTGTTATACGATTTTGGGTTTTAAAGCTTTTTAATTCTCTTTACCTTTACAGATTGTCGCTGTTTTTTTTTTTTAATGTAATCATTCTTGCATGTGGATCACGAGTTTAATACAACTAGCCTACAGTTTATCCTAGTTTTAGTTTATTTTTCTTCAGAATATGGACAATGTTTTTATTAGCAACCAACTCTGCTTTTTCAATATTTTTAATTTTTGGTACTTTTACTAGTTCATGATATGAATACGACTATTGCAAGAACTGCATTTGTTAGAGTAGCTTTTTAATATTTCTTTCGTAATTAATATGCAAAAGAAGTGAAAGTTTCCGAGTGTTCATTTTCTTCAAAATTGAATAGAGTTAGTTATGGACGGTGTTTTTATACCTAACTCTGCTTTGCAAGTTTTTTTTCCTGTATTTTACGATTCATGATGATATGAATATGACTTTTGCAAGAAACTGCATTTTTGCAATAGTAGCTTTGTTTTTTTGTTTTATCTTTTCGTAATCAATTATCAAATATCTTTGCAAAAGAATTGATGATCTCCACTTTAAAGACTTTCAACCATATTTAAACCAGTAAAAGAGAAGCTTTCCGCCATATAATTGATCTGATCAAGAAACACAATGAGAGGTAACATTAAAATATTTAAAGATGAAGACCATTAGTCCAAGGAATCTTATCTTCCGTCTCCACTTACAAAGGCCCTCTGCTTTATAGTAATGAGAAACTCAGGAAGATCAAATTTGCTCTAGTATAGAGACATGAGCTACGAAAATACAAATTGCTCTTTCTTCTTGAATCTCTTCAAGCTACTACTTTTGCTGATCTTTTATTCTGCAGATCTTGCTGCTTCAGTCTCTTGTCAAAGGGAGTGTGGAGGAATCGCTATCCCATACCCTTTCGGAATCGGAAAAGATTGCTATCTCGAGAAGTATTACGAAATCGAATGTCGTATTACAACTTCAAGAAAGCTTGTCCCTTTCCTTTCTGTAATTAGCAAAGAAGTTGTGAGTATCTCTCTTCCGAGTGCAGAAAGTCATTTTGCTTATACAATAACTGATCAAGATCGTCATGAATCATTTGGGTTAGTTCGTGTCAAGTTCCCGATTACATCCACAGGATGTTTCAGCGATGGAAAAGAGTCTGCAGGCGGATTAAAAATGAACTTCACGGATACCCCTTTCTTCATTGGCAGCACAAACAGCCTCATAGCGGTTGGTTGCAACAGCAAAGTGTCGTTGATGTATATAAAGCCGAACATGGTAGGATGCGAGTTGAGTTGCAATACAAGCAAAGACTCGCATAGCAATAGCATCCCTTTTGTGGAAACGGGTTGCTCGAGCAACGTTTTATCCTATTCTCAGGACCAAGGTTGTACAGAAGAGACACCAGAAGAAACAGGATGCAATGGTAACGGATGTTGCCAGGCAAATCTACCTAACGAGCCTCAACAAGTTATTGGTATCAGAACAGAGAGCAATGATGGAAACTCGACAACAAAAGTACCGTGTACAGTTGCCTTCTTAACTGATGAAATCTTCACTTCGCCGAATGCGATCAAAAGAGAACACTTACTTGCTAAGCGATATGCTACGGTTAGTATAGGATGGGTAATCCAGACTAAAAATAATTCTTTCTTCAACTCCTTGGCCTGCAAAAACAGAGAATATTACCGCAATACTAGTTACTTTGTTGAACCTGAAGGAAAGTGTACATGCGCCAGAATCACTATATCTGAGTTAAGTTATGCAAACTGTGGATGCACCTATGGTTACACAGGTAACCCATATATTTTGGATGGATGCAAAGGTCAGTATATGTTCCTTCTTTATTCTCTCTTTTTTTTTTTTTATTTATGTGTGCATCATTGCATGCATCTTTTGAGCTTTTACAAATCATCTCTAGATGTTATAATTATACAAGTTTTATTTTCATCATTTGATTATAATATGTCATCTTTTAAATGTAGATATTGATGAATGTAAAGTCAAATACGAATACTGTAAAGAGACAGACACTTGTGTGAATTTGGAGGGAAGCTATCGATGCGTGGGCGATAAGACTAGAGCGATAATGATAGGTAGGTCACTGTTTTATTTTCCAATTAAGTTGAGTCGCAAAGTTATAAAGCAAGTGATGATCATCCGATAATATTCTTGTGTGGTTTTGCAGGGGCGGGTGCGGGTTTTGGGGTCTTAGTCCTTGTTGGTGGAGTATGGTGGTTGAGAAAGTTTTTAATAAAGAGAAGGATGACAAAGAGGAAGAAGAAGTTCTTCAAACGTAATGGGGGACTACTTTTGCAACAAGAATTAAATACCAGAGAAGGCAATGTTGAAAAGACAAGAATCTTCAACTCGAGAGAGCTAGAGAAAGCCACCGAGAACTTCAGCGAAAAC